GACGACACCCACGCCGAGGAGCGGGGGAGGATGCATGGCGGCGGGTAGGGTGTGAGTCGCCCACTCAGCCAAGGGATCGGCTGGTTTTGTTGTCAGTCTCAGTCTCTTCTCTCATCCTCAACCAATGGTCGTTTGGATATACGATCAAGATCCTGCGGGCGGACCAGTCGCGATTCTTGGGCGCTGTGTTCTTGCGTGGGTTTCCTTGAGAAAACCCCCAAGAATAAGAAGAAGAAAAAAAAACAACCCAGAAGAGCAGGGGAATCAGGTCGGACCCGCCGAAGAAGGTAAACGCCGAGTCGACAAGTGCGCGGGCTGACCAAGGGCAAAGCAGGGCGAGTGATACTCGGGGACTGCGATGCAGCAGAGGTAGGTAGAGGAGGAGGAGGAGACAAGGTGAGTGGCTGAGAAAGAAAAGGCTTCAGACGCGAGCCGTGGGCCCAAAGTGTGCAAGAGCGGTCCAGGGTGGATGAGGTGGACGAGGTGGACGAGGGGTGGTTGCGCTACTAGAAGTTGCGATTCTTCTTTGCTGTGTGGGGACGATGGGCGCACGCGGCGGCACACCCAGTCAGTCTGTCGTTCTCAGACCGAAAGAGAGGGACCAAAGCTAACAAGGTTGAGCTGGCGGGTCAAACTGGATGTTCGGTAGCACCCTCAAATCAAACATGCCCCAGGGAGGAGTCAATACAGACGAGATGCCTGCGGCAAATGCATTACGCGGTTGGCGACTGTTGGAAATCTGTACTGGGTGGGTATCTCGCACGGAGCCTTGGCCGACTTTCTAGTCGCGGAAGGCGTGTGTCATTATTTCCTCGTGCAATTTAAAAAAAAAAAAAAAAAAAATGGCAAGCGGTCTTGGATGGATAGGAGGGATGGATCACTGGTGGAGGGGAACCCGTTCTCGGGGGGACGTAGACGGGCACGGAGACAGGGGTTAGCTTTTGGGGGCTGAAGGTCGGACGTCGCGTCGCAATAATGTGGCTTATTGCGCAGATGGCAGGACCTCGTCAGATATGATTTCCTGATTTCTCTCAGGTTAGATCAGGGCTGGTAATTAATGGTAATGCTGGGAGAGCAGCAATGGGACTGGGCACTAGGCAGACAAGGGACGGGGACTCGGAAAGCAGGCCGATGACAACGGGCGCTGCGGTATCGTGACCCCAGTAGGTACAACGAATACCAGCGCGTCAGCAATGGCTGGAAGGCGGGCCTCGAGGGTCTTCAGAGACAATAGTTTAGAAAGGCCGGTTAGTGCTTCCATACCATGCCCTTTCAGCCGTGCGTCTCAGCCCTCTCCCTGTGGATCTCTTCGCGACGAATGATTCTCTGAAGCGGTAAAAGTACACCCGGGATGGTGACTGAGTAAACCAAAGCCACAAGCACAGAGCGCAGACGCGGCGTGGGCGTGAGCGGCGAAGACGGAGGGTCGTCCTGCGAGTGTGTGTGTATGTGTGTGTGTGTGTGTGTGTGTGTGTGTGTTTATTCAGTCGTCCGATGACGAAGCGGTCGGACGCCTCTATATCGATGAGACGGGATAGGATTCCCGGCCTCAAGACCACTTTAGCAGCGATCAGCAGAAGGGCACTTCCTTGAGCGTGGGATCCGGTCCGATCTGTGGATTCGGACCCAAAAGGGCCGGGGAAACGAGTGGCAGACAAAATAAAAGCGGGATTCACAAAGAGGAATACCGCACCGGCCACTATTCCCACAACGGAATCTACATACCCAGTACGGCGCATCCCCTCTTGACGGCCATGGTGGAAGGAGGGGGTTCCGGATCAGACCTGCGCCAAGTCGATTCACCCTTCTTTGGCTTCTCCCAACCAGACCAGAGCCTTCTTTCCTCTTCTTTTCATTTCAAGACCGCCAACTGCCCCTCTGGATGATCACTCCCGCGAAACATATCCTAGCATAGAGCGCTGTCCTTGCTCGCTTAGTAGGCCTTAGTTGATAGTCTAGCTCGTAGCAACAAGCCCGCTCATTTGTCAGTGATGCTGCTCTCCATACGTCATCCCGACCTCACACGTGGGGTAGCTATAATTAATGTGAAGTCCCTTCGCACTCTTATCGGTGTGCTAGTATCCGTATAACTGTAGTGTACCTGGTGTAGGCAGACTTACTCCCTCCCCCTCCCAGATCCACGCTCGCGTTTTCCCGGGTCACCACGCTAGCTCCGGGATCCGATCGATCCTGTTTGTTTCGTTTTGCCCGCCCACCTCAGTATAGGTACTCTGCATCTGCCTCGTGTGCTCCCGTCAGATACCCTACCTAGCGCACAGGCTGCAACCGCGGCTTGTGTGCTCCTTGTGACGTCATATAGCGTCCGCGAAACAACACAACACCGTCTCCAATCTTTCTTGGCTGATGGGCCTATCACAGCCTATCACAGGCCGTCGCTTGACAACCTCATCCTGCTGCTCACCGACGCGTGATTCACTGCGCGCCCAATCATGAGAGCCGTCACCGGCGCTCACCTGCACGACTCCAAGTCGTCTTCCGGCATCCCTTTTCGAACGAACCGTCCGGACTAGATAGGAAAGTCGTATGAAATCGATCAGCACGTATCCCGTATCCAATATCCTCTCCACTCTCATTTCTCACAGCACTCCCTTGGGTTCTGTTTCTCTGCTTCCTTTTCCTTGTTTGGCGGGGCTTGCTTGACATGCTGTGGCTATCGAGAGACATGCCACCCCCCCTTCGTTTGTGGTCCAATCACCGTCTTTCCCCATCGAGGGGTCACGGACGCGCGATTGCACTGACGGGAGAATCGCCCATCTCTATAGAGGAACTCCTAACGTCATTTACCCCAAGCCCGTCTGTCGCACCAGTGAGCGGGCTTGGGTAGGCAGCCAGAAGTCTCACTTATCAACCCCCGCCGCCGCCGAAAGCCAGCCACATCGGTGATAACCTGGAAGCACGAAATCTGACAAACGCCCAATGGTCTGTTCTTCGACCAACACCTCACCAGCCTCGTGCGGCGTGCGGCTACAATACGGCGCCAAATACGAGACCGAGACGATACGACGTGAGCAAACTCTCTTTGTCGTGGTGGTGCCCGCCATGTCAAGGTGTGCTTTGAATGCAAGTGCGAGACTGCATTGCATTTTGGTCCGGGCAACATCACCCTAATAATATTTTCGGTCTAGAAATGGTATCTGATCTATCTTGGGGTATTCGAGGCATCTTAAGCCTCGAAGCAATGTATGAAGCGGCCAAATAATCCTCTGATTCTACTGTATCTCATGTCAGATATGATTCTCTATTCGGCCCAGCGGTCGTGGTAATTGTGAGAAATCAAACTCCCGTCCGTTTCCCCTGTTCTGCCAGCCCTCCCCCGTGCCCAACCCACCCGGTGGCTTACACCACCGCTAAACCATGCCATCTCCTACCTTTAACGCGCCGCCACCAAGCTCATGTAGATGCCCCAGGCAATACCGGCGAGGGAACCGACCAGGTTCCTGCCCTCGATGCTCTTGACAAAGGCAAAGTTGACGAGGCTGACCAGGGGCCACAGCTTCAGGCCGGCGAGGAAGATGGGCACGAACTCGAGCTGGCTGCTACGGACGACGGCCCGCCAGTCGACCTTGCTGTAGTCGACGGCGCCGCGTGAGAGGAGATATGACCCCGAGTGGTGCGCGGCCGCGAGGTGGTCCGGGCGGGCCATGGCGGTCTGGATGCTGTGCATGAACATGCTGAAGGCGAGCGTGTTGAGGGCGGCGCCGACAGTCTGGTCGAGGACCAGCTTGATGAGCGTGTTGCGGATGTTGAGCTTGGGCTCGACCAGCTTGTTCTCGCGCGCCTCGCGGTCCAGCTCCTTGTCGTCGTTGGCCGCCGCCGAGGCGACGGCGTCCTTGGTGGGCGAGACGTGGTAGGCCGGGAAAGTCTCCTCGAGAAAGCCTTGCCTGTGGGGTGTCAGTAACGACGTTCGAACGCTGCCCCAGATGTGAGAGAAAGTGCGCTGGATGGAGACTCACCACATGAAGTTGGGTGGCGTACTGATAATGGTGTAGAGGACGAACTGGAAGACGGGTACCCAGTCGATGACCAGTGGACTCTGGTCGTCGGATTAGCAATGAAATCTCTATCCACAGTAAGGTGGCGCTGTTGTATGCGACAACGTAACGCATCCTTCTGGCGGCCCAGTCTTGTCAGGGAGGTCATCATACATCGGTTTGGTAGGCCGTCAAGGCCTGGGCCAACAGGTTCGACGTGCCGCTCAGGACTGCAGACTGCAGCGTCGCCGTGACAACGGGAGAAGGGGCCATGATGAGGCTCTGAGGAGTCGAGTTGAGAAGCTTTAACGGCGAAGTCCTATGAACGGTGTACGAGAATCCCTTCGTTGTAAGACGCGATGAGCGATGCTTTGTGCCAGCTAGCTGGACAGAACAATATGATCCTTTTGGTGCATACGGCCCGTGTAGGGTGTGCGAGCTGACGTTATTTATATGCCTCGGTGTTGCGCAACTGATGCGATTTTAATGCAATCTGTTCGGAAGAGCACCCTTGAGACTGGCGACTTTGTAATCACGACGAGTTTCGATAGGTCAATGGAACGGCTTGCAGGCCCGGATTGAAGATTCGGCACAGGTGGTTCGTGTGGAGGAATTGGGGAAACACTGCCCTCTCCTCTACCCCAGTACCCCGGTTCGTGTGGAGGTCGCCGGCCAAAGTTCGGATCGGCAAATGAGGGACCAAGGCTCGCACTCCTGTGGGGCCGACGGCTGTCCGTTCCAGCTTTTCAGCAGACATGTCGAGCTTTGGTGGGCAGTTTTAGACGGAGGCATCGGGCTAGTATCAAAGATACCTGCGTTCTATTGGCCGCTTACCCTCTTGTTGTTGGCTTTGAGCCAAGGCCGGATATACTGTATCCTTGGCTGTTACTGGCTGCATGCCCTCAGGGAGATAGATACCTGTATGCAGGCAGGCAACGGCAAGGAAGGTAATTCGAAAGGAGCTTGACGTGTGGGCTAACGAAAGCTTGTTGTAATGGCAACTTTGCCCAAGCAGCACGCCGCTTGCATAATCATACGCCAGTTGATTGCATTGCAGGACCACGATGCAGGTTTCTAATGCTGACATGGATGGCAGCTCTGTTTGATTTGTGCTTGTTCATCTCAACCTCCGCCTCGTAACCTGTTCCCGGTCACTCCAAACTACAGGGATTGAGCTTCCTCGACTCGGGGCATATCTCAACTGCATAACAGGCTCAACAGCAAACCGCCCCAACGCGCTTTAGATATGTGACGTGTCGCATTATCGTACACGTGTGTTCAACTCCTGGAATAAAGTGTCGCCTTTTGTAAAGGGAAACCCGTCCTTCTAATAGGCTTCATGGCATGTAATGGCATGTTCAAGTCCAGCCGCGCTCGGATTGCTTTCAACGCCAGCCTTTTGGCTCCGTCCGTTTTGCATCATAAACTCTTCTGGAGTTGCGGGATCAAGGCCTCGTCAAGATCCACATGAACAGCAGCTGGACAATGTACGAGTAAAAGAACAGGAACTGGGTTCTCTGGTTCCGCTTGGCCCGTGAATCGCCTGTTTGCATAGGGCCAACACCATTGGCCGAGTTCTCGGGCAGGAGTACGTACTTGAGAGACCGCATCTGAAATGAAAAGTTAGTTATCGCAGCTGTGACAGGGGGCTAGTGCGAGCATGCATACCAAGAACAACGAGTTGGCCAGGAACGTGTAGAGGAACACCGACCAGCCAATCCAGCCACCTGTACCTTTGCCGCCGTTGAAGGTCTCCGCCACCGCAACGGTAACGATGATACCAACAAACTTATAGCCCGAGTACGCGATCAGATCGTAGAGCTGCGAGTCGTTCGAGATGCCCAACAGATAGCAGCCCAGCTTCAGACCCAGGATCTCCGCAACCACTATTACCAGAGCCGTCGACGCCGTGTATCCAAGAAGCTCGGGCTGGAACTGGCCGCGGAGACCGGCAATGAGGGTGGATAGGAGGATGTACGTCACGACGGCCATGACGGGGATGTACATGTCTGGACTGTTGATATCGTCGCGCGGCGGGAGATACCACCCCTCCTGGCCGCTAGGTCCAACGGACTGCTTGCGCGACCATGGCTTGTGCCTCCAAGGGAAGAGAACGAGGAATAGCTTGTTGATGACATAGGAGTTTGAGACGTTGAAGTAGTGCTTCAGGGCGTTGACGTTGACGTATCGGTTGAACTGCAATAAGGGTTAGCTTCGTGTAGGCCCGGCGCATCTTGAAGAGCCCAAAGGTGCTGCCGAGATTCGTGTGTTGGGGCTTTTCTCTTTCTCTCGACATACGTTCTGTTCCATGTACTCCTGGCCATGTCTGAAGGCCGACTGTCCGAACTGTGCCGCGACCTGCGCCGTGGGGTCGTTCATGAACTGTCCATATGCGCCGAAAACGTTCCCACTTGCGCCGCCTTGCTGTTGGTAGGGGCTGTTATAGCCTTGTTGCGACTGCGATTGCGACACGGGAGGAGGGGGCGAGCGCAGCTGGGGCACCGTCGAGACATGCTGGGGTACAGGGTGGTGCAAGGGAGGCGACTGCCCGTACGTTTGTGGACGCTGCATGATGGAAGAAGGAAAGCTTGCGTGGATTTCCGATTATGTCGTGAAGGGATATGGCGAGGGGTTTGTCAGGAAACCGGTAAACTGTGTTGGAGAGGACGTTCAGCGTCGAGGGTGTTGGGATGCCTCCCTTCTATGAGTCCACGTCGTCTTTGTCGGGCCACGAGCTGAGGTGGATGTAGCTGGTATGGAAATGTGTTTACTTCCATGTCATCAGCAGGGGCCGCGCTCAGATTACACACTGTATAGAACAGGCCTTCTTTCGCTGGGGGTTACAGTGCGGAAGGCTGGCGGATTATCCTCACTTCCGGATCTTATCGATAGGGTTTTCAAGCGATGCGATAGCAGGCCATCTGCGAAAGGTGCAACCAGCCAGCGGCCAAGGGTCTACGCCACAGGCCAGCTTTTTGGATCATCAAAGAAGTCGCCCCCAAACCAACGGTTCTCCCTCCCTCCTTTGTTCTGCCTGTCGTTACTCTCCCCCAAAGCTTTCCGTGTCGCAGAAATCCAAGGAACCGAAGCGCATACACAATGCTCGACACGTTCGAGATCCTGACCACATCCGGTGTGGTACTCTGGTCCAGGACCTATGCGCCTGTCAACCCGTCCGTCATCAATAACTTCATCGCTGATGTCTTTATCGAGGAGAAGGGCGGCGCTGCGTCTAGCCAGTCCGCAGCCAGCAACCCACCATACAAACGCGATCAGCACACACTCCGTTATACCTTTGTCAAGGAACTAGGTGTCATCTTTGTGGTATGTTCTTTCGGCACTCAATGCGCATTCCCTCCCACCAGCCATGTATAGCACTGACGGACTTGCGGGCAGGCCGTTTACAGATCCCTCCTGCACCTGTCGTGGATTGACAAGCTTGTCGACAACATCAAGACTATTTTTGTAGACTTATACGGCGAGCAGTTGACGAAACCTCACACGACGTTGGTCGAATGCCATAAGTTCGACGAGTATTTTGATCAGCAGGTCCGAGAGCTGGAGACGACGGGGTCCAAGGGCGACTCAAACATCTCGGCGGCCGAGTTCGCCAAGGAAGAGAAGACGTTGTCTGGAAACCTTGGCGACGACCCTCCCCTCCCCCGGGTCTGCATTATAGGGGTAAGCCGAATGCGCCGCCCGCCACAGTATCACGCGATCAATGCTAACCCGGCGACCAGGACGCGGTCTGAACGCTGCGAGCGGAACATCGAACGATCTGACGCCCATTGCGACGCCCAACACCTCGCGGCCCTCGACCCCCGGTACCAGCAGTGTCATAGTAGGAAAGGCTGGCCCTGTAGCGAAGATGTCGCGCCGCGCGCGCAAGGCTGGGAGCTCGGGGCCCGTCTCGTCTGGAGACGAGTCGGCCGGCAGGAGGCCTAAGGTCGCTACGCGGTCGTCAACGAAGAAGGGCCGCAAGTGGGATGCGGACGGTATGGCGGACGAGGACGACGACGTTGTTCTCGACTACTCGGCAGCTCCGAAGTCGGCGACGAGCGACTCGGAAGCCGAGCCGGCCGGCCGCTCCTCCGCGGTCGAGCAGGTCGACCATACGACATGGGGGTCCAAGACGGCAAAGGGCCAATTCGTGCTGAAGGATCTCGACGATGAGGTACACAACATCCTGGCCTCGGCGCAGGCCAAGAACAACACCTCGTCCAAGACGGAGGCCTCGGGCGGGCTGATCGGGTCCGGCCTGAGCACCATCGGTGGCCTGTTCCGCAACGTTGTCGGCGGCAAGACGCTCACCAAGGCGGACCTCGACAAGGCTATGAAGGGCATGGAGGAGCACCTCCTCAAGAAGAACGTGGCACGCGAGGCCGCCGTCCGGCTGTGCGAGGGCGTCGAGAAAGAGCTCCTGGGCGTAAAGACGGGCAGCTTCGAGAGCATCAACGCCAAGATCCAGGCCGCCATGGAGGCCTCGCTCACCAAGATGCTCACACCGACGTCCTCCCTGGACCTCCTGCGAGAGATCGATGCCATCACCGCGCCGCCCGCGACCTCCCTGCGCAGGGCCCGCCCGTATGTCATCTCCATCGTCGGCGTCAACGGCGTCGGTAAGTCCACCAACCTGTCCAAGATCTGCTTCTTTCTCTTGCAGAACAAGTACAAGGTGCTCATCGCCGCCGGCGACACCTTCCGTTCCGGTGCCGTCGAGCAGCTCGCCGTCCACGTGCGCAACCTCAAGGAGCTCACTGTCCGCGAGGGCGGCCACGTCGAGCTGTACCAGAAGGGTTATGGAAAGGACGCCGCCACCGTTGCGCGTGACGCCGTCTCGCACGCCGCCCAGGAGGGCTTCGACGTCGTCCTCATCGACACCGCCGGGCGCAGGCATAACGACCAACGCCTCATGTCTTCCCTGGAGAAGTTTGCCAAGTTTGCTCAACCCGATAAGATCCTGATGGTCGGCGAGGTAAGATCCCTCTTAAGTGTAGAAGAAGAAGAAGAGGAAGAAAGCTAACATGCGCATACCAAAGGCCCTCGTCGGTACCGACTCGGTCGCTCAAGCCCGCAACTTCAACGCCGCCTTCGGCGCCGTCCGCACCCTCGACGGCTTCATCATCTCAAAGTGCGACACGGTCGGCAACATGGTCGGCACCCTCGTCAGCCTCGTCCACGCCACAAACGTTCCGGTGCTCTTCGTCGGCGTCGGCCAGCACTACTCGGACCTGCGCAACTTCTCCGTCAAGTGGGCCGTCGAGAAGCTGCTGAGTAGCTCTTGAATGTGGATATGAAAAACAAAACAAAAGAAAGACAGAAAGAAAGGGATGACCAATTGCAAAACCGACACGCCCTCGTCACGGGCAAAGGGAGGAAGAGGCGGGTGCAGGCGGGCAGCCTTCTCCGGGGCGCGGGTTGTTGCCAACACACACATACCATACCATACCATACCACCTTTCTAATATGACTTTGGATGAAATGAACAAAACAAACCAAAAAGTAGAAGCCCTGTTTCTTCTCCGCGTTGGGTACTCCCAACAGGTTGGTCCATTTCTTGAATCACCAATCAGAGCCATCCATTCGCCATTGTTGATCTCTTGGTGTCTATCTCGTGAGAGATCAATGTGTTCCCTGGTTTCGGTAGACTGGGGACATCTTGCAAAAGAAGCATCGGGCTTCGCATTCGTGGCCTCCACAACCAGCACAATATGCCAACGAGGGCAGACTCAACGTTCACGGAACTTGGTCGAGATAATACTCAGATCAGGCGTGCAAATTATTACTATATACGTTCTTGTGTAGTGTAGTAGTAGTAGTAGTAGTAGTAGTGATGTAGCGGGAAGGGGGCAGGCAGTAATGGTGTATACGTTAGAGCAAGCGCAGTAGCGAGCGAAAACGTTAAAAAGAAAGGGCCTTCTCCTCCCCCAAAAAATATCCTCAGTTCGTCGTCATGTTTTCCTCTGCATTGCTTCGGACCAAATAAACAAAGGAAAATTAATTTTGGCCCTCGAGCTTCGGTCCCAGGGAGGACGGGACGGTGGCAACTGCAACCGTCCGTTTGCCCCTGAGGGAAAGGCCAAGGGGTAAGATACACCATCTGCTCTCGGAGATCCTCTAGCTCGGTGGATGTAGTGTAGTAGAAATAAGTCTTGCAAAAAGGGGGTATCATCATTCTAGTGTGTCCATTCTTGGGCTCAAGAGCATGCTGCATGAAAAAGATCGACTGCGGTGCGAGTGACAAAGGAAATCCTCCCGCCCGTTGATGCTTCTTCTTAATCTTCAAAAAAGTCGGTGTCGTCAAAGTCGCCTGGGTGAGCGTCCGAGTCGTATGCGCTGGACCGCATCATCGGGGGCGTCATGGGTTGTTGGGAGCGACTCGATGGGCGACGGCCAGGCGGGCTCTTCAGGGGCATAGGCTCGGATGGCACATCGGCCAACGACGGTCCTCGGGCTCTGTTCTGAAGCTGCTGAGCCGTGTACCGACGGCCGGTAGTCTGGAAGGCAGTCGGCTGGAGTTCCTCCGTGCTCGCCGGAGGGGTCTGGCGGAGGCCAGAGGCCGGTGGCGTCATCAAACCATTAGCTTTATTGCTGAATGATGCCGAGGCTGTCGATCGGGAAGGGGTGTGATTGCTGGTCAAGGCAGACCGTGATGTTGAAGGCCGGGGTGTCCGTCCGCCTGACGAGAAGATGGGCTGTTGGGACTTTCGCCAGTTGCCCCATGCTGCAGCCAGAGGGCCGACAGCTTGAGCGACGCGGGGCGAGGCGGCCTCGCGAAGAGACTGGGCAATGTTGGGCAGGTTGATGGCCGATCCACCGTTCATCGCGCGCTCGCGCTCTTGCTCCTCCATTTGAAGGTTAGCCTTGAGGCGAATGGCGGCATCCTTGACAGCCTCTCTGTCAAAGTCCTGAGCGGACACGGCAAGGATGATGTCTTGCAGGTCGCCGTGTCTCACGGCAAGAAGCTCACGCAACCAGGTGATCTCGTCATCGCGCTTGGAAATCTTCGTCGGCGCTTCGGGGTCGAGCTTGGCGACGGTGGACTCGAGCTCTTCGATGCGCTGCTCGCGGGCCTGCAACTGCTCTTGCAGGACCATGATGGACTCCCGCAGGGCCTGGGGTGAGATCTTCTCGGGAAGGTCCATGGCCTTGGGCACGGCGGCGGCAACGGTGGCGGCGGCCTTGGGTTGCAAGGTCGCAGCGGATTGCGCAGGTGGCTCGACACCGGCAGACTTGGCAGCTTGAGCGGCGGCGCGGGCAGCCTCCTTGGCAATCTCAAGCTTCTCCTCCAGGTGGGCGACACGGTCTTGCAGGTGCTCGGTCTTGGATGTCGAAAGGCTGAGACGCTCGAGAAGGTGCTGCTCGGTCTTCTGGCCATCCTCAACGGCGTTGCTGAGCTGGCGCTCCCAACGGGTCTGGAAGTCCTCAAGCTCGTTCTGGTGCTTGCGCTTCAGCTCCTCGATAGCTTCAGCCTTGCTGGTCTGAGCTTCCTCCATCATCATTTCAGATTGAGCCTTGGCAGTTTCAACATCCATGTTGGCCTGATCGAGCTCGGCTCTGATCTTGACAATTTGTTCCTCGAGTTCCTCGCGAACAACGTTGACGTGGTGATTGGCCTCATCAATCTCGCGCTGCATAGCGGCGCGCGTTCGCTGGACCTCGTTGATACCGGACTCTCTGGCCTCCTTGAATTCGCTCTGGTAGCGCATGGCAGACTGGTGGAGTTTGTGGTTCTCAGTCTTCATCTCGCCGAGCAGGGTCTCGAGTCGCTTGCACTCGCTGACAGCACGCATTCCCTGGCGCTCACCATTCTCCAGTCGCTCGATCTCGGTCTCTAGACGCTCACGTGTACGGGCCTCGGCTTGGAGCTTGGCGTCCAGGACCTCTTGACGTGCAAGCAGTGCCTGCTCGCGTTTGGTACGGCGGGCATTCTCCTCTGTGATGTCGCGAGCAGCCTGAGCCATGTCTTCCTGGAGAGAGACAAACTTTGCGCGCCAGCTTTCTCGGATACGCTCGTTCTCTTGAAGCTGGGCTCCAAGAGAAGCGAGGAACTTCTGCAACTCCTTGTTGTCATCGAGAGCCCCGTTGTAGTCGATTTGTAATCGGCGGGCGGTCTCAACAGCGCGCTCCGCTTCGGATCGCCAGCGGGTGGCTTGTTGATTGGCGGTACGCAGGTCGTCATCCATTAGGTTGATCTTGTTGGTGAGCTCAGTCTGGGCCTGCGTAGCATTGGTCTGCGAGGCCTCCATAAGAGCCACACGCATGGTGTGCTTGGAAGCGGCCTGCTCGAGGGCCTTGATCTTGTGGTTTTGCTCATCGACCTCCTCTCTGAGACGGTTCTCCTCTTCAGTAGCAATGCGGAGAAGCCGCTGGACCTCGGAGAGTCTATCTTCGGCTGTACGGCGGCCGTCCAACTCTGTCTGAGCCCTCTCCTCCTGGTTCCTGAGCTTCTCCTCGAGGTCACTAATGCGGTTGTCAAAGATACTTCGGTTCATGATTTCGACCTCGACGCGGGTCTCGGCAGCCTGCAGCTTTCTCTCCAGCTCTGCCGCGAGATCTTCGGCAGCACGACGATCAGTGACCTCCTTCTCAGTCTGGTTTCGCTCGACGTAAAGGCGTTCCTCAAGATCAATGATCTTAGCCTGGAGCTCACTCAGCTTGTTATTGACGGCCTCGTCGTTGCCTCGATCAGCAGTGGCCTGCTGGGATGGCGTCGGCATGCGTTTCTCAACAGCCTCCTCCACAATGTTGCGCAGATCCTCACCGCGGAAGTCAAGACGCATAGATGCGCCAAACTGCTCCCTCATCTCCTCCAAAGCCTTGAGAACGGCAGCGGTGGAGGCGTCGTCGGAGGCGGCAGGTGCGGCAACTGGGGCCACGGGGGGCATGCTTCGCTGCTGTACCGCAAAGGCGTCGAGGACGGCTGCGCGGATCTGCTCCATGCGTTTGTCACGGCGCGGGCTCAACGAACGGCGAGGCACAGGTTCTTCGTCCTCGTCGTCAGCATCGCTGTGCTGGATGTCCGCAGACACGCTGCGACGGACGGAAGAGGAAGCTCTTCTGGAACCACCCCGGAGTGACTGCTTAATGGAAAGAAGAGCCTTCTCCAAGGGGCCGAGGCGAGCGGAGAGCAGATCGCCGACGGCTTCATTGACACGGCCGTCGAAGAATTGGACACGCTGCTCCAGCTTAGCCTGTTCCTCGGCAGTGAAAGCTTCCTCCCAGTCGCTGTGCGCAATGCTCTCTTCCCCGATCAAGTGGGTGATGGGAGCATCGAATGACTGCATGCTCATAGGAGGATCGACGAAAGGATCCTCAACTTCCGTACTGGGCATCGCCGAGTTGTCGGCAGGGAGGTCGCGGTATTGCCGGACGGGGCTGGACGTCCTGCTGCGGTATTGACTGCCGGCTTGCATCTTATAGGGCGACAGGTTGGTAACGCCAGCGACATGGATTTGTCTCTGGGGACTAGGCTGGCGCCAGTTGGTAGCTTCGGTAGTGACCTTGTTCACGCCGAAAGTTGGATCATTATGTTTGAGGTGATCCATGATGGCATCAATCTCCTCAAAGGTCGGCTCGTGAGGCTCATCGTTGACCTTGTCCGCGGGTTGGTCGTCGAAGAACTCGCGAGCTTGGTGCTCGTCGACATGCTCTTCGGCTTCGGAGACGACGTATTCCTCAGGAAACTCTCCTTCTTCAAGCTCCTCCTCAACTTGGCGAGCAGGTGAGGGAGAAGCCGCAAAGCGAGACGCAGAAAGACCCTTACTCTTCGGCGGGCTGGCGAAGCGAGAAGCGCCGAGTCCCTTGAGGGCACCGAATTTGGGAGGGGTTGGTGCGCGGGGGGACGGTCCACGCAAAGGCGATGACTGGACCGGAGCCTCGGTACTCGGCAGTACAGGCTCGACAGTGTCTTCTCTGTCGCGGTCGTCCTCTTCGTCCTCCTCGGTCTCGGACTCGGGCGCAATAGCCCAGCCGCCGCCGGGAACGAATGCCCTAGCGGTGGCAGACAGTGACTTGTTGTGACCTTTCTTGTAAGTGTCGATACCGAACGGCCGAGCATCGTTGAAGTTCTGGACGTCCGACTTTGACTCAAATTCAAAAGGTGCCCAGTTCAGTTGCTGCTGATCAGGCGAAGTATCAGAGGGGCTAGTAGCAGTGACAGCCTTAGAATCAGTAGGGTGCTCGGAGGCGGCGGTAGAGGACATTGTGGTGTCTGCAGGCGTGAAGGCTTGCTCATCGCCCGACTTGTGCTCGGAGGCATCCTGCTCTTCCTTTGATCCGAGCTGAAGCGATTGCATTCCGGTGGGCTCAGGCGATGGTTCAGCAAACAGGGGAACGTCATCGCCATCCCCTCTCGAAGCCTTGGCCCTCTTGATGCGCGACTCATCAATCAGGCGACCGTCTGCGTCATCGGGAAGGTCATCTTGAGATTCGTCGTCCTTGTTGTTGCTGCTGCTGCTTGGACGAATGATCGGAATGGCCTTGCTCTTTTTGGGAGGTTTAACAACGTCAGAAAGGCTCAGATCAATATTGCCGAAAATGGAGCTAGTGCGGTTGCCGACGCTTTCGCTGCCTGACACAGGGCTGGTGACAGAGTCCGAAACATTGCCGAAGGGTGTGAAGGCTGGCGCATCCGGTCGGAACTTCGGGCCAGAGGCAGAAAAGCTGAATTCGCTTTGGCCGGGGGAGAAGACAGGGGCAGCAGCATTAATCTTGGAGATGGACTGTGCGCCAAATGAATGTGCCGATGGCGAGGCGACAGACGATGCGAAAGATCCGCCGCCCGCCTGGAAAACAGACGGCTGGAAATTATTGCTGCCACTTCCGAAGGTGAAACTGGCCTTGGACTCGTGGCCAGGGTTGAACTTGAATTCGGGGGCCTTGACGTTGAGCTTCGACAGTGACGGCTTGCTGGCATGGCTGGGTCTTCTCGGCATGCCCGAGTTGCTCGACGCCGACGAGACGTCGTTCCACGGGTTGCTCGTCGTGGAGAAGGAGCGCTGGTGCTGCTGCAAGAGCGTCGTGAGGCTGAAGTCCTGCACAGGCGTACCGAGGTTGCTGGGGTTGGTCTCGATCTCGGCCGCCTCGTCGATCCGATTGGTGTTAACATCATGCCATCCGGCCAAGCTATCGCCACGAGCCCGCATCTCGTCGTGGTGAGAAAAGAAGTTCTGCGACAGCGAGTGGCCACGGCTGTGGGGCCGCGGGTGGTGGAGAACAGGGCCGTCGCCAGGTTGCTGGATGAATTGCTGTTGCAATTGCGGGTGTGGCTGGAACTGGACGGAGGCTTCCCTCGCATGCGACGGAAGCTGTTGTTGAGAGAAATCTGCAAGCTGTTGCGCAGCAGCCTGCGCAGCGGCCTCCTCGTTGTGCGGGCTGTAATCCTCGTGCTCCAGCTCGTTGCGCATCTGTTCTTCCAAGTGGTATTCGGCCTCGTCGATCTCGGCCTGGAGGTCGTCGTCGTTAACCTGCGAGGCCTCCAACGGCTTCGCGGGGGTGCACTCTTCTTCTGCCTCCTCCTCATCCTCTCGCACCTCCTGCAGGCGTGGAGATGCCCGCGCAGGTTGCTGTTGCTGCATGAACTGCTGGTGGGGCATCATGGGGTACTGCAAAGATTGGTGTCGCTGGTGTGCGTTGAATGCAGGGCTGCCAGTCGGCGCGAAGCCCTCAGGAGTAAAGGGCGAAATGGGAGAAAGAACCCCGTTGAGCAGCGAGGGCGAATCGGTCCTGTGCTGAGAAGGCCAGCCCATTGGCGAATGCTGATTTGACATCTGGAAGGGCGAGTGGCCCATGGGGACCGAGATCGACTGTCGGGCATTGTACTTGGCCGGGTGGCTTCCAAAACCAACGGGAGAGACCATACTCGGGCTTGGGCCTGCGGAGGAACGGCCGCCAGGCACGAACTGTGTGGGGAAGGGGTATCCTTGCACATGGTTGCTCGAGGCCGAGGACGTAGGCATAGGCGGGGAGAAGGGCAGAGGCGGGTACTGCACCGAGGCCTGCCGGCTAGGTTGTGACGCCGCAGGGGATATTGACGGCGGCGGTGGGTCGTCATCGCCGAAGGAGACACCGAGAGCTCGCAATTTAGCTTCGTTAAGCTCGTTCACGTAGTTCTTCCAGGCTGCGGCACGTTTAGCACGGTTGTCATCTCCAAGTCTGGACCTCCCACAGCTTACCATTCAAGTCAGGCAATGTGACCTTGTAGGCATGTTCCGCACGCTCTCTAGCAACTTCGTCGAAGTCAGGCCAGGCGTCTCGGCTCTGGGAGTACCCTGTGCGGGCCTGGTACGTGCCCTCCGCCACATCCAGGTCAAAACCGCTGATGTCGTACCCGAGCTCCTGCCATGACCGAAACATGCCTTCAATCTCGGTCTGGTTCAGCGGCTTGGGCGCTTGTCCGGGGCGTCCACGCTCCTCGTCTTTGGGAAGAAGAACCATGATGTTCTTCCCCTTCCAAGGAACCTTTTTCTTCAGCCGCGGTGTCATGCTCGGCTCCTTGATTGAAACCCTTGCTGAGGCACTCCTCATTGGTGTTACGGGAGCTTTGGCGGTCTCGACGTGCGCAGCACTCGCGCTCCTTCTGGGCGTTGTAGGGATTGCAGGGAGGTCAGGCAGCTCGCCGGCCAAGTCGGCCGTTGAGAGGTCTGGGCTCTCCATAGTTGCGTCTGCGACGTCGTCTCGGGGCTTCGCGCTTTCCGGTTTAAGTGTCTCGACGCTGGATCGGGTGCGAGGGTGACGAGGTTCGGTGAGCGATGCGCGGGCAAGACGCGGCCGTGCTCTCGGTGTTCGCAGCGACTCTTTATCGTGCCAGACAGCTTCGTCGCCGGATCCTGAGCCGCTCAGTGAAGAGTGCTCGCTTCCGTCGCTGAACCAATGCCGACTCTCCGATTTTTCGCCCGCCGTGTGTTGGCGAATCCAATCCTCGGTCAATCGACGTGCAGGTCGTCGAGCACGATTGGCGAGGACTTGAGCTGCGCTGAGGTAGGGCTCTGGCGAATCGTCGTGGTCGAACGAAAGCGAGGGGGGAGGACGGAGAAAGGGGGTGTTGATGGCAATGTGATGGATTGGCGAGTCTTCGGATTGATCGCTGCCAACACTTTGGGGGCTGAGAAGTCTCGTGTCTTGGGTCGAGTACGGTGAGCCCCAACTGGCGGTAACGTACCTCTCCTCTTCTTCGACGCTGGGTTGGCTCCTCAAAATTTCCCGAGCTCGGTCAGGGAGTCTCGGCGCGGGCAGCGAAGGCAAAATAGGGGAGGACCCGAGGTCCTCGCCGTCGGCAACAGTGGACGTCGAAGAAAGGGCGGGCGACGCGGGCGAGTTGAGCGGTGAACAATGAGGCCCTTTGCCGTCCTGTGCAGGTGCAGCAGGAGGAGAACGGGATTGCTGTTGAGGAGACGTCTTCGAGGGACTCTGTTTCAATCAGGAATGGGGCCCAAGATCAGGGTGGCGTCTGCCGTGGGCTGTCAAGGTACCACTGGGGGAGGGGGAATGTGAAGCAAGGCGAGGTGAGGTGCGGTGAGGTGAGGTAGCTTGACTTACCACGGTGAGATCAGCGCAGACGATGGGACCGTCTGCAGCCAAGTCTCTTGAGATTTCGCGTCGAGGACCCTTTGTTCGCAGCCCTCAAAAAACGGCATGTACAACACGAAGCAGGCCGAGAGAAAGAAAGAAAGAAAACTAAGAACGGGCAGGCTGTCGAAGTTGTTGACAGGAATAAGGGGGTGGGAGGAGAAGCGGCCCGTGTGATTGGGGCCAGCTGTCTGTGTGTGTGTGTATTTGGCGGGTCGTATTTTTTTGGTCGCGACGACGCGTATGGAATTTTTTTCCGGGAAGGCGGGCAGGGCAGTAGGGGGGGCGCTCTATACTCTGTATAACCAGCCAGCAGGAATAAGGTATTATTTGCACAGGTGGCCCGACTCAGGGATTAGAGAACGGGGGGGTGGTTGCAGAAGGGAAACTGGGGGAGAGGGAAATTATTGACTAAGGAGCGACATGAATGCAAAAAGACGGCAGCTTGCGGGTACCGGACGCATCGGGATCACAGCTCGAGCTAAACGATGATGATGATCTTGATGACTTGACAGGTCGTCGTCGGTTTTTGGAGACGGGAGACTAGATGGGGGGTTGGGGGGAGGAGGAGGAGGAAGAAGAAGGGGTGGAGGAGGACGGAGGTGGGAGACTGTGTGTGTGTGAGGAAGGTGAAAAGCAGCCGAAGATTGGACGGGCCGGACAGAGAGGAACAAGGCAAGACGAGGCACGGCAGAGATTGAGAGAGAGAGGCGTGACACTCAAGGCAACTCAAAGCATTGCATGGCACAGGAAGCTAATGCGAAGGTTTCCTACGGATACTGTTCTTGGAGATGATGGTGTCCAAGCCGTGTGGGTGAAGGGGGAGGACTCGAGGTACCATGCACAGACAAGGAACGGGGGACTTGACGGGCAAGGTACAAGTACAGGCACAGGCACAGGCATGGCAACGGAAAGGAGCAGGTACGATGTACAGCAGGGAGCCAAGGCACGGCCAGGCGTGGGCTTTGATGCCGCTACACCTAGGAAAAAAAAGAAAAGAAAAAAGTTAGCACCAAGAGTTTAAAAAGTCCTCCGTCCATGCTATGGTAAGCTGCAGCAAAACCTCTCCCAAAAGCATTTGCCAGTCGAGTCATCAACTCAACAACCAGCGACAACCACGTCGACGGTGCATTCGTCTGCACTGTCGGGTGGGAATGCATGACCAGACGAGAGCGAAGAGGTTCGTTCACTCTTCTTCTCCTGGCCGTTTGCGTGGAACCTTTTTGAGACCGGTGGCACGACGAGATTGGACGTTTCTGGGGGAGAATGAACGGCGCAAGAAACAGCTGGCACTCGCTTGGCCGACGCAGTTTCCCTTCTTTCCACGCTCTTTCACATGAACCACGACGGAATGTCATTGGGGATTGGCAAGACATAGAGAGAGAGTCGGGGGACCCTGCTTTCCAATGGGGTGGACCGGGGCGTGCCAGGGACAGGCTGGCCACTTTGGCCAACTTGAATGACAGCCTTCCAAACAGGCCACTCGCTGGGCGGCCCTGCTAATGCTGTTTTAATGAGCGCCCCCACTACAACACGGGGCCGAGCTATGGCCAGGGGGGCAATCTCTCGCCTTGCCTGTGCGTGAGCAGCATGGTAGGTACATTCGGAAGAGAGTAGCCCCCCCGCAAATGAATGTACCCCTTAACAGATCGCACGCCCCAGAAATCGCTTCCCCCCTACTCTCGCATCACTTTTGGAGCTCTGGCTGATTTCCGCTCCATGAGGCCGCCCCGCCCGCTTGAACTCGTAGACGACATCGTGTTTTTTTGCCAATGGCTCGATGCTCACCCGGGTCCGTAACGCTCGTGGCCCAGATTAGCACGTCCTGTCCCTCGTTTTCGGCCGGTTCGGCTCACACCAGGCGTCTCGAAAGTCCCGTCGTGTCTGGGAGCGGTTGTGTCTTACACGACGGCGGCATCATGCCCCGCAGAAAAGAAGACAAAAAATAATAGCTTCAAGTGACCGGCGTCGGTCAATTTGGACGTTTTGCTGGACCCCGTGTACTTTTATCCGTTTCGTTTCTTTTCTCTCTCCTTACTGCCTGAGACAGGCACCGTGGATTGACAACGGCTGTTCCTGTCCCAGCCGCATCGGTCAGTCGTGAAGACAACCTGAAGGAATTGAGCTTCTTCAAGAGTGGCCCTCGGCACTAGAGAGGGAGAGAAAAGATAACGAAAAAAAAAAACGAAAAAAAAAGAAGAAGAAGAAGAAGAAAAAAGAAAAAGCCATTTGCGCCCTCGCTTGGACCCGGCAATCTGCATGACGGCAAACCCACCTTCCTGTCAGGATTCCGGGGTCCATCCCTTTCGACGCACGTCTCCCGAGGATCTCCAGACTCGACGTCGACAGGCGGTTGAACTCTGACGACGCGCTTGCAATTGCGACCCAAGAACAGAGGGGGGGGGGGGGGGGGGGGGGGGGGGTGCAGGTGTGAAATTAATGCGTCCGCGTCCTATCCCATCGGGCGCGAACGGACCTCACTAACCCCGGTGAGGGGTAGAAGCAAATTAGGCCACAGCAATTAACGCCAAAAGCCAATAGTTTTAGAGTACTTCTATTTATATGGCGTTTTGCCTATGCCAAAGGTACTAACAATCTCTACCTTTACATAAGGGTATATTGCAATCTAAGTAACCTTGCTAGGTTTTTTGTCGCTAGTTATTACTAGCCTGTTGCCGCGTACTACACTAGGAGCAAGGTAAAGCCTTTCCTTGTGACCCTTGCTGGTGGTCTAATAATGGAAGATTAGTCTTCTGTTTATGGGACTGTTGCTAAGGGTGCAAAACCTAGCGACCTTTTGCTAATGCTCTAAACTGTTGAATAAGCTGGCAGGAAAGCAGTTGCTGCTATTGATATTAGTTTATAACTTTTGGCTACTTTAGGTCTCCTCTTAGCTAGAGATAAAAGGTATTAATAACGATGACTTTAAGTAGAAAGGTCTAGGCAATAGCTTACTAGGATCCCTAACGTATACAGTAATTAAAGGAGTATAATGCCTTTATTTAGTCACTTATATTTACCCTATTTATGTTGTAGTTATAGTTGTCTATTGGCCAAGGGACCAGAAGGTCCTTCTAGGCATCTAGGCTGAAGACCTCTTGGGTAGTCTGCTTAGCTGCTGTCTTACTGGCTGGCCGGCGGCGCTGCTAGATTATATAGTCTACCTAGCTGCCTTTATATACTGTTAAAAGGAAGAGCACAAGGGCATTATTCTTCTAGGTAATTTAGTTAACCTATAAGAAAGTAAACTAGTTAGTATAGGTATTTATATATTAATCTAGTTTAGAGATATATACTAGCCTATTAGCAGTAGGAATAGAGTGTATCTAGCCCTATAGGATCCCTTGGCCTTCTGTACTTTTCTTAGCAATAAGTACAGCATTAATACTACTGTTTTTCTAGCATATGCTAAAGGCTCCGACTTGCTAGCTCCAGAGGGCCCAGAAGAGCCAAACCAAGGCAAAGAGGTTATCTAGAAATACGTAATATATTACTGCTAGCAGTAGGGCAAGAAGGGCTATAACTACCCACTGCGTTGGCGTAAGCCAGGCTGCCCAGTCTACTGGTTGGCTGGCCGGGTGCGGAGCTTTAGGAAGAAGCCTGTATAGGCCTTCTCTGTGTACATGCTAAAGCCACTAGAGGGAGTACCTAGATTAGGCAAGGACCTATACCTTAAAGCTGGTTAAGATTAGCTTTGTTAGGATAGTTGTTGTTTCTCGGCTTTAGCCTGTAAACCAGACTATTGCCTTGTCAACAGTAAGATTGGAGCTGGCTGTATAGAGGGGGTCTCTGGCTGCCTAGATATAGACTAACTATTAGTTAACCTTCTAATATATATCTAGCATCTTGCCCTTCTTTTGCTAGCTCTAAGTTATAAACTTAGAAGGGTTAAATATCTAAAGCTAGGCATAGAGTTACTAAAAGCAGTCCTAGGTTATAAAGCGTATAAATAGGTATAATAGGTCTTTGCTGTACTATTAAGTTAACTAGTATCTTAAGATTTAAGATTTAGGGTGTATACCTATATAAATTAAAACACTAAAGAAGAGATAAATCTTATTAGTAGAGGTATTTCTCTATTAATACACATGTGACCTTTGTTAATAGGGGCTAGCCTTAGATAACAGTGCAGTATTTGTCTAATTAACCTACTGTTAGATTAACTATAAGGGTATATAATAAAGAAAGAGGTTAATAGGTGTATTAAAGCTAGAAAGCCTATGGACCTTGGGCTGCCGGTCTAGCACTTTAAAAGGGATAAAGGAGCCCGGAGGGCCTGGGTCTGCCGGAGGCTTGTTGGGCCGGATTATTGCGTTATCACACTGCTCCAGGCAGCAGTTATCTGGGCAGGCAACGGCAAGGTCCTCTGGTAGCACCTCTACGTGGATAGTGCTGTAAATAGAGGTATTAGAGTCAGACATTGTGGATTTTAATGAGGATGTTGGTGATAATGTTGAAATTGGTGGTGGTTGCTAATAAAATAGCATTCTAAAACAAGGTATCGTCATGTATCTCTGAAAGTGAGGGGTAAAAGTGGAGGGGGATCCACAATAGGTTAGTGAGGTCCGTTCGCGCCCGATGGGATAGTTGCCGCAAGATGTCCTGCATCAGCTTCAACTCTCAACAGCCCTCTTCCGGGTTGCAGACACTGAGAAAGGAGAGGGGAGGCTTGTCCAAAGTTTGCGCCCCGCCTCCCTCGTCCTTTAGGGACAGCAATGTCTCGTTACTAGACGCGGTCCCATGGTCGGATACGACGCGCGGGGAAATCACAATGTTACAAATGGAGGACGCAAGGAAGCTCGGGAAAAGAAGATAAAGAAAGAAAAAAGAAAAGAAAAAAAGCATGGCAACAGCGTTGAACCTGGGTGGTGGTGAGATTGGATATCGCGAGTGATATAGCTGATCAGGGCCATCGGCTTTACCCATCAAGAAGGTGAGATTGAGATACGGAGGGGCACTGGAAAGTGGTTCCCTCGTGAAAAGCCCTTTTTTATTTCCGCTCCCGGCACCGTTCATGCGTTTGCGATCCGTATCTCGTGCAGGGCCATTTGCTCCGGACCGGGCTGAAACTTCTCTTTGCAATGGTCCTCTCCACCAAGGGGGCAGCTGTTGACAATCTTGCGTACCAACGGCCGTGGCCGTAGCGTCTCGTCTCGTGGGAGGTTTCTCACAATGACATTCTCGCCCTACAAGGCTCTGGATCTGGCCCTGGGTCTTTCGCTGGAGAAAACGAAGGCATTCAGAGACGCTATAATACAGGCAGACGACGCACGTCTGTTCGATTAACTACACCAGCTCGGGTTTTCGAGCGAAACCCCCGCACTGAATCTGCTTTCTTCGCTCTGTCATGTCCCAACGCGATATTACTCATATAAAAAGAAGGCTCTCGCTCGTCGACCGACGACCGGCAGAGTCCCGGATATAACCTCGTGCTTTTTGCCCTCGAAGAACCCCTTTGGGGAAAAGAAAAAAAAAACCGTCAAACCCAGGTTTCACCCGGTACAGCTTGATACTCTCAACAAACCTTCCTTCTGGCCCAGATTTATCTCCTGACCCAAACCGAGGCGGCTTGCGTTCCCATGGCCATGGTGCCGCTCCTTCCTGTAGACATGCGCCGCATGTGCCCATGGCCGACATCGCGCTGTTTTATACAACGTCAATTAATTTACGCCCCCCCCCCCCCCACGCCTCTCCTTCTCTCTCTAAGCCGGCATCGCTTCTCTGCCTCGTGGAAAAGAGACGACAGCTCACTCATGGGTCACAGAAGATGTCAAAGTCGCCATCTGAGGCCACGAACACCGCGTCGCTGAAGCTCTGCTGTGTGGCAGTGCTGATCGCCGCCTTGCATTGATCTATACCCGTCACCCGCCCTGGTCAGCGTGCTTCTTCTCATCCACTGCGACCGGAGACCACCTCTATATCTTGTCTCTGGCCTCTTCACTAATGAGAGGGGGTTTTGATGAGGGGGAAGAAGGGAAAGGACACCAGCCGCGGGGGCTGGACGGAGGCCAACTTACTGGACTGCTTGTCACATTCCGACACCGAAAACTTTTGGGACCCATTGTTGGCGGCATTGGCGCACTTGTTCTTCTGGTTATCGCACGCTCTGTTCGCCGCTGTCGCGAAGTCGGGCTGGCGGTCCGCGGCATCAGTATCCAAGTCCTCTCGCGTCCCGTGCAGTTGGAACCCGGCCAAGGTCATCACACTTACAAAGGTGTCGCCATCAACCTCGAACGGTCGTTCAGAGTTGCTCGACTTTGTGATCTGTTCGCGTGCGCCGAAGATAGGTCAGCCAAAACGTCGTCTCTTCATCCTGATGCCGCATATGGTCGTGCTTGTTCGGACTGAAACCGTGCACCCCCCTCCCCCGAGACTACCACACATCGGATCTCACACCCAGAAGTCCCAGCCCGACGATATCACCCGCCACCAGAGAAGGGAAAAAGAAAAAAGAAAAAGAGGGAAAAAAAGGCGGAACGAGGTCTTGGTTGGGAGACAACACGGGATCACGTACCGCGGACGCCTTCACGCCTCCCAGGTTACCGTCAAACGGCTGCAGGTTCTGCGAGTCCTGCCGCGGCAGCAGGCCCATCTTCCAGCCCATGCGCATCTCCTCGCCAATGTCGAACGCCATCACGCCCGCGGAGGCGACGGCGGCCGCCGAGAGGCCTCCGATCAATGTCAACGGCCGCATCGCCGATTATGCTTCTTCTTTTCTTCAATTACTGCCGATGCGTGCTTCCTCCTCTGCTGCCGCCGCGTTGACGTCGTCGGAAATCCTCGGTGGATTTGTCGCTTCGGATTGGATTCGTCCCGTCCTCCTTTTGCTCAAGTTCGTATTCGTGATCGTGACAATGGACCTCCTTAGTAAGACCTCCAGGGTTCGTTTTGTTGACTTTGCGAGGGGCGGAGACAGCTCCTTCACCGGCGGCTCATCAGAAAGAAAAAGGAGAATACGAGAATGCGTCCGGGGACCGAGGCTCAACCTCGTCAATTTCGTGTATGGCTTCTTGCAGTCGTGGTGGCGGATCGACTCGTGGACGCAGCGTGGAATCTAAAAGGAACGGTCCGCGCCAGGGCTGAAGGGGAAAGAGGAGAGAACGACGAATATGAGCAGAATCGAAAGTCAAATTTCGATCCCTTGCACTCCAGCAGTCTATTTTTCGACTGGCGAACGGATGGCCGACGCGGCTAGAGCAGATAACGACGCCGAGAGGAAAGGGGGGTAAATACGGTTGGTTGGTTGGCTCTCGCGGAAGGGAGCGTACCTGAAACGCCAGAGGAAGCACTGTCCAAACAAAAACGCAAATAAAGCCCACCCAAAGGGCCGCGCCAAAATGTGACAGCACCCCTAGCCGTACACCCCGAAACATCACTGAGACGGCTACGTCCATAACCGCAGACGGGCCCAGCCTTGCACCCGCTGTCCATGGCATGCACCCACGTGTCGATGCCCAGACGGAATGGTCGGGCCTAGAGAGGACGATGCTTCTGCCTGCCCAGCTGTTCAGATGGCACCCTGATAAGGGGCAGCGATCGCGCTGCTGATAATCGACATAGAGTTTAGGGAAGGGGTGACAGCCGAACCAATCCAAGTCTGTCGCAGGGGTCTTTCCTTTTTTGCCTTCACTGACAGACATCGCTCGTTCTGGTTCAGATGTGGTATGTGCTCTACTTTTGCCTTTGGCAGGAAACCTCATTTGGCGGTCGTGTTATTAAACTAGTATCTAAGGTACAAGCCATGAAAACCCAGTATGGTGGTATCCTTCTGACTTGCATTGCGTAGGTTGGTTGTGTCTCTACTGCCGTCGGTGCCCTGCCTAGGTAGGTGCGGAGGTCGCTCGGATGAGCCCACACTGATCAGGTTTGGTCATCGTGCTAAAGTCCAACCGATAAAGAAGAGGAATTCTGCATTCTATGTACATGTGTTTTATCCATTAGGCCTTAAACTTCGCGATATGCAATCATGCCTGCCGTAGCAAATTCGACGGTCCGAAACTCCGTTTGGCTGGCGGAGAGAGAGAGGGGGGGGAATGCCAGCCGCAATGTTTGATAGAAAAGAAAAATCATGGTGTATGCCCATTGTTGGACGAGACCGGGGGAATCAACGCTTTCTTCCGCAATGCAAACAATCATGACAAGACTCGGGTGGGCGTCATCTTTAGAAGTTTGACGATGCGTTGACTTGGTTCGGGGCGTGATAGCTCTCGAGAGTCGACTGGAACGGGGTGCGGCCTGCTCCCTGGGCGCTGCCGACCTCGGCCTTGGGCTCGTTGCCGTACTGGTTGTTGTACTCCATGAGACCGTCGTTCTCCTCGGCGTGCTTCTTCTTGCCCCAGATTCTCCACGCGACAAAGCCGAGGGCTCCGAGGACAATGGCACCACCAACACCGACCACAACACCAATGACAGTGTTACGAGTCTGGGTGGACATGCCAGAGGAAGAGTCGGCAGTGCTGGCTTCGTTCAGGCCCGGGGTGGAGGTGACGGTAGACTCGGATGTGAAGGAGGTGGGCTGACCAGCGGAGTTGGTCGTGGTGATGACGGTCCGGATAGTGGAGGTGACGGGCTGAATGGAGGTGGAAGGCTTGGAAGAAGCAGCACTGGCGCCGCTGCTCGTGGGTCTGTCGCTGTTGGCAGCCGACGAGGCGCTAGTCTGCAGGGTAGTGGGAGCGACTGAGTCGACAGGAGTGGTGGATGCGGGAGCGTTGGCGCTCGTGGACGGGGCTGGGGCAGCAGAGGTGGTAGTTTGGACAACGACAGTGGTGCTCGTGACGGGTGCAGGCGTTGTTTTGGTCTCTGCCGCAGGAACGGAAGTAGATGGGGCGGCGGCAGTTGACGTCTCGGCGCCGCTGATTCCTGTTTGTCTCTTGACGACCTCATCGCGGGGCTCGGCTCTGAAGTCGTACCATGATGCCTGGGCGACAGAGGCGGCGGCGAGAAGCGGGAGCACGCTCGTGGGACGCATGGTGAATGACGGACGGGTGCGGTGTGTGAGAACGGTAGGGGAAAGCGGGTGTTGTCGTCGGGGAGGGACGAATACTTGTATAAAATATGCGCAGTAGAGGTTTCTCCCTCCTGTTCGTCAGATAATGCGGCGAGTCGTCGGTGTATGTGCCGAAAACCTAATTGATTGGTATGTGTTTCGGAGACGGGTGTGGCAAAGCAAGGCGAGTCGGTTCGTCTGGAATTTGCGGAAAGTTCTTTCCCTCCAGGTGGGTGGTGCCCGAGTGGGTACAAGATAGGAGAACGGCGCGAGTCAAAAGGAGAAAGCGAGAACGAGCGGTAAGTAGTTAGGTAGATAAAACAACAGTACCTAGGTTAAGAGTGGTTGTCTTCTTTTCTTCGGGCAAGGGCGAAGTAAGAAGAATGATGCAGAGGGAAAACGAGAGGAAGGAAACAAGAGGAAGGATCAGAAAAGGGGGGAAAAGCGAGTGAATGGTTTTTATCAAGTGAAGGGATAATAAGGTGGTTGTGTTTGTTAGGTGGGTGGAAACGGGCGGGAGAGTCAGGAAAACAAGAATTCTTTCCTCGTATTCAAGACAGGAAGAAGGAGGATACTGCACCACCTAGTACTAGGATGGACTGGACGGTCAGCAGGCGCATGTGCCGGTTGCACCGGTGCTGTAGCATCTTAACAAGTACCGTTGCATCTGAGGTACCGACTAGTGTTGGTGCTAGGGACCTAACCTAGTAGGCTGTAGCGGAGCCTGTCGCACTGTCCCCGCGTGGTGGCTGTTCATGGCTTATTCGCGGACGACAAGGCACGTAGTACCAAGCACAACAACAGCAACGGCAGATATCTGTACACTGCACATTACGTACATTGTACGTACAGTAGACAGTTTACTCTCCATGTCAGAGAACAGGAAGCTGGGTAGGGCAAGGGAAGAGAAATGTGGTGACGGCGTTTTTTGCCTAAGATGCCAGGCTAAAAGTCCCCAGACGTGCTCGCTTGCTTGCTGCGTGATGACGACCCATTCATTGGTCGTGGAGTGGAGACGTTGGCCCGATGAAGTGGCGAAGCTCCCTCACGACAATCGATGCAGCAGATCCACTCGGAGGGAGCAGAAGGGAACAAGCAATCGTACGGATACAGTACTATGCGTACCTCGCTAGCTTGTGACATACCCTACTACTGCTCCTTCTCTGTCGATTATCCGTACTTTGCAAAGCACCCTCTCATTCGAACAAGCCCAGCACCGTTTTGGCTGGCACTGGGCACGTATTTAGGTGTCCCATTCCTTGAGGAAGGTACTTGAGAAGGTACATATATAAGTACCGTAAACACTCGCGAGAGTGAGAAAGCGCTAATCGGCAAGGGGTATGGCAGCCGCTTTGACGGCCGCTGTAAGGAGTATAGTCTGCTGGCAGAAACAGGGATCTAGAAGTGGCAAAAGCAGGGATTGGTCATTTACGTCAGCAGCAAGTTTGACCGCCTTCTATTCGGGGCTCAGCATGGTGTATAGACGCTAGCTTACTCCAGCTAGCGTACTACTCTTAACAGTTAACCCTCTAATTAGCGCTTTCATAATCTCGTGAGTGTCTACGCAGTAAGGTAGGTAGGTACACGTATGCAGGTACCTAAGGTACTTTACTATGTATGGTTGCCGACACCGAGACAGTGGCCGAGAAGCAAGCCCCCCCAAACTGTCAGCAACGTCTAGCGGCCAGGCCGTTGGGCAAACGGCCTCTTCTAGCCCTTCTAGCCCAGCAGCATCATCCACGTATTCCGACTCGGCTACATTCCCTTCCCAGAGCTGGTGCTGTCTTTGTCCCTCACGAGTGTTTGTCCCATGCGCCCCCGCGTGCCTGCTCTGAGCCGATCTTGTCTCTATTTTTGGCTGTTTTTTCATTCAGGGTCTTCCAAGCCCGTCCCCACCACCCACCATGCCCCTTACATTCTTCGTCATTCCTCCCGGCTTCCTTGCGGAAACCGGATTCCGCCGTCTCTTTTCAGAGGCCGGCATTCGTCGGCTGCTCTCCGCTGTCCCTTTTCCTCATTGGCAATCCTCCGGTATATCAAGGGTCTTATAGGGGTCCCGGTCCGCGACACTGGCCAAGCATAGGTAGCCTGGACGCCGAGTTTCGCCTCACTGGGTCATTTAGACCTGTTCTCCGCGGCGGACGACGTCATTCCTGCACTCGAGCGTCGTCCTTGCTCTGGAACAGCATGTCCGCAGCATACAGGGTGATGCTTGCCGACAACAGTCACCGTGGGCAGGCAGTGCGTGCACTGTAGCCGTGTCGTCTTTGGTGCCACTGGCTCGAGCAGTCTCCAAGGGGGACTTGATCCGCCAGATAATATTCGTCGGCTCTCGGAAACGCCCCCCAGTGCGATACGCGTACGCCCGCGAATTTCCAGATGAACCTCCCAAAGACGAGCCGATGCGAAATAAAAACACTGGACCGAGGACCGCGTTTCGTCCCGTCCAACTTCTACCCATCAGGGCACCCACGACACCCTTGCGAAAAGCCTCATGTCCTACGACCCTCGTCGTGCGTTCCTCTTCTTCCGAGAAGCGGCGGCAGCAGCTAGGGGTATGGGTTAGGTTAGCGGTGGTTACAGCAGCACTTACCCCCGCGAGCGGACACTTTCTGGACTTCGCAGCCTCTCCATCCCCAACAGACGGTGGCTGACCGAGCAACAGACTACGCTCTGCATCGGTGGTCCACCCGAACGTGGACTTGTCGTTTTCTCGCTGTTCTGGCGGCTGAGCCACTTCCGTCCGAGTGTAACAAATTGGGGAAAATCCAGACGCGAGGTTCCTCCTCCTACCGGCCAATGTTCACCGTGTACTCAACACCTGCCAAGAGCGGTTAGTTCACATGTAGGGGTAGGCCGCACTGACGCCTACAATCAATACGGGAACCGATCTCCCACCCGACAAAACTTCAAGACATCTCCAAATACATCATGAGATGCTTCACTTAGTGATTCTCCTTGAAAAGACCTGTCTAGCCAACCCCTACAACCCAAGAGTCACTAACCAGCCAGCCGTTGTAGCAATCTTGAAGAGTCTTCCCTGCGCAACGCCATTGCCTTAACGTCGCAAACATGAGTTGCGGGGTATCTGGTTCACTCATCACGTTACACACGTCGTTGCTATTCAACGCTAGGAGGAAAACATTCGATAAAGACATCTCAATTGTTGTTGATCCCACAAGGGGTACCATTGAGGATGTATATCATCGGACAGATGATGGCCATTTCACAGTGGATGAGACTGACATCGACCTCCGCGGGAAAGTTGTGATGCCCGGATTTGTCGACGCCCACACGCACGTGTTTTTGCATTCATACGAGTGAGCCATGACGGACTCGGTTTACCGCGAGCCTTTCATCTGACTGGAGCTTAGTGAAGCTTCCTCTACCGTCCAGATGCGAGACGAAAGCATCGTGGAGCGAATCGTTCGTGCTACCAATCATCTCCGCGCCGCGCTGCTGTCTGGCTATACCACGTACAGAGACCTGGGTACCGAGGGGATGCGATCATTTGACGCGAACCTCCGAGACTGTGTCAACCGAGGGCTTCTTCCGGGCCCCCGCCTGTTCGTCGCCACCGAGTGCCTTGCAAGCACCGGCTCATATGAGGTCCGTCACGAGAACACACTGGCCAAGCTGCCACGCATCTCTGATGCTTGTGATGGACCAGTGGGCGTTCGCCAAGCAGTCCGACGCCGCGCGGCTGACGGCGCGGATATCATCAAGTTCTACGCCGATTATCGACGAAGGGTGATGCGGTTTCCACCTCCAATCCAGCCACCACGCGATGCGATTCCATTCTTGCCCGCCGATCCCAACCCTTCAGTGGTCATGTTCAACCAGGAGGAAATGGACGCGATCGTGCAAGAAGCGAAGCTGGGCGGTTTGCCGGTGGCATGCCACGCGGGTACCGCAAAGGGCGCGCTCATGGCCGTCAAGGCAGGAGTCGACACCATTGAGCACTGCAACGAGGCGACCGACGAGGTCTTCTGGGAAATGCGCCGTCTTGGGACCATCTTCGTCCCTACCCTGGCGGTGCTTCGGAATTCGCCAGACTTTGCCGACATTAGTAAACGGGTCAAGAGAGCGCACGACCTCGGCGTACGTCTTGCTGCCGGCGGCGATACCGGAGCCTTCCCCCACGGGGAGGGTGCTGTGGAGATGGAGCTTATGATCCGGGCCGGGGTTCCCGTGGCGGATGTGTTGGAAGCATGCGTTATTGGCGGCTGGGAGAGCTGCGGCAAGGACAAAAGCGGGTTTTCGTTCGGATCGATTGAAAAGGGGTACCGAGCCGACATCATTGCCCTGGAGACGGACCCGAGAACGGATACCGGGGCTTTGCGGAAAGTCGACTTTGTCATGAAGGACGGCAAGGTCTGGAAGAAGGACGGTCGGCCAGTCGGCTTCCTTGAGGAGCAGGCGGCTAGGCCGCATCAAGAGGAAGAGTCAGACTGGGTTCTTATTTGAATGTCGTCATATGGCACCTATCGGATGCGGTTGGTCAGTTGTCCGTATGCACCAGCTAGCCGTCGAGAGCAGTCAGGTTGCATTCTTGCAGTCATATGACCTTCAATATTGGACAGATACAGACTGGATACAACCGAGCAGCCTCAGACCACTTATTCCCGTCCTCGGCACCTCTATCTCCTTGACCTTGGGCGCTTACCGAACGGGCACCTCACTGATTCCCCGAGAGTCACAATAGAGATTATTGAAGAGCCTTCGATGCTTGCCAGTTATATCGCACGTTCGGGTCCGCCAGTCCAGGCCAACGGCGGAGGAACTAGCCCATTGGTTAATGATCCCACCAGATCCCCGCACTGCGTGGAGGAGACCGACAAAGCTTAACGTATTTGTGATCTCATGCTTGCTTGATACCCAGAATGACTGCATACGCATGGAACAAGCTTTCCAAACTCACGGGCATCGGACGATCGTCTCGTATGCAAAGCTTGTCACACCCGTTCTTCCGAGCATCTTTAGTCTTCCCCATAGGCTCATGGCACGCCACTGCACCTTCCCGATCAAGATGAGGGGAAACAAACTTATTGATTGCTGCAATTTCAAAAATATAAAAATAAATCAAAAAAAGACTGAACTTGCGCAGAAGTTGGAGGCAGCACCTGGATGAATATCATGGTTTTGGAGTTCGCGACTTAGAAGACCCAAGGTTCATCGATATATATAATGTACTAACGGCATAGCCACTAGCATCCTATTTCAACAGTCAAGTTACCCATCGGTTGTCATCCAAAATGAGAAAACCACTATTCTCAATCGCCACGTTGGCTTTCAGCATCTGCTATGCCTTGTCGACGGGCGCCACCGGAGGCCGTCCCCCTACCCTCATTACAGACGCCCACAAGAGAGACCGGCTTCAGGATGTAGTAACCTGGGATGAACGCTCGCTCTATGTCCGCGGCGAGCGCGTGATGATATTTTCCGGAGAGATACATCCCTTCCGCCTACCCGTCCCGTCCCTCTGGCTGGACCTATTCCAAAAGGTTAAGGCCCTGGGCCTCAACACTGTCAGTTTCTACGTCGACTGGGCTCTCCTCGAGGGCAAGGCCGGCGACTTCAACGCCGATGGCGTTTTCGACCTCCAGCCGTTCTTTGACGCCGCGACCAAGGCCGGCGTGTATCTCATTGCGCGACCGGGACCGTACATCAACGCCGAGGCCTCTGGTGGCGGGTTTCCCGGATGGCTGGCGAGGATTCGGGGGAAGCTGAGGACTTCGGATCCCGAATTTCTGTCAGCGACGGACAAGTATGCTCTTGTACAAGGACTGTTTGGTTGGACGAACCGTGTGGCTCACCTCTTATACTAGCTATATGGCGAGGATCTGTGGCATCATCGCCAAGGCTCAAATCACCAACGGGGGGCCGGTCGTTCTATTACAGTCGGAGAACGAATACACCAACTTTGAGAACGGCAGCATGAATGACGGGAAGTACTTTCAATACGTCATCGACCAGGCACGCAAAGCCGGGATCGTCGTCCCGATTATCAACAACGATGCCAGACCTGCGGGGAACAACGCGCCTGGAACGGGTGTAGGAGCCGTGGATATTTATGTAAGGGACACTTGCTTCGGATGACGGTTCACAGCTAACGAGTCCAGGGACACGATTCTTACCCTTTGGGCTTCGATTGCGTGAGCAATCCCGACAGCATTCTAGACCATCTAGCATGTCGTACTAACCATCGATGCGCAGTCGAATCCGAACACATGGCCGAACAACAGACTGCCTACAGATTTTCGAGCACTGCATTTACAGCAGAGCCCCATGACTCCGTATTCAATAATAGAGGTATGATCATTGAACCCATTCGACAAGAGTAAGCTCATGTGCTGTAGTTCCAAGGTGGTTCCTTTGACCCATTCGGCGGACCTGGTTTCGAAAAATGCGCCGCCTTGGTTAACCATGAATTCGAGCGGGTGTTTTATAAGAACAACTTCGCAGCCGGCGTCACCATATATAACCTCTATATGGTGATACTTCCTTCTCCAAACACCTTTTGAGCTTACCACAAACTGATGCTCTCTCAGATTTTTGGCGGCACAAACTGGGGTAACCTAGGCCACCCAGACGGTTACACATCCTATGATTATGGCGCAGTAAGTCCATGACGTGCTAGAGACATGGTGTCAAGCCGACTAACACTCGGCAAGGCGATCACAGAGGAACGAGGCGTCGGCAGAGAGAAATTTTCCGAACTGAAACTCGAAGCCCAATTTTTGAAAGTTTCGCCCGCGTATCTGATCGCAACGCCCTACAACTCGACTGTGGGTGTCTACAGCAATGCCACCGGCATTACTGTGACGCCTCTTTTGGGAAACGGCACCGGCTCATTCTTCGTAGTGCGCCACAGCAACTATTCCAGCCTGGCCACGACGGAGTACGCCCTCCGGCTGCCAACGTCCGAGGGGAACATCACGGTTCCTCGGTTCCGCGGGCTGCTCCAGCTCGGACGCCGCGACTCGAAGGTCGTGGTGACCGATTACCGGGTCGGAAACGCGACCCTCTTGTACTCGACGGCAGAGATCTTCACGTGGAAAGAGTACAAGGACCAGACAGTCCTCGTTGTTTATGGTGGCCCCGATGAGACCCATGAAATGGCGATCAAAACGGACGGGACGCCTGCCCTTATTGAGGGAACCGGTGTTGACCACCACGATGTCAACGGCACTTTGGTCTTGTCCTGGGCGACTTCGACAGCTCGTCGAGTTGTCCAAGTCGGTCATCTCTTCGTTTATATCCTAGGTAAGTGCATGCCCGCAAAAATTGCAAGAACGAGAGGCTTTCCCGCTGACAACGAGAAGATCGCAACTCCGCATACAACTACTGGGTCCCGGACAGACCGGGAGGAGGCAGCCAGCCCTCCTATGGGACGTCGGTCATGAATCCCGATTCGCTAATCATAAACGGCGGCTACCTCGTCAGGTCGGTCTCAACACAAGGCGACACGCTCCGGATTCAAGCAGACCTCAACCGCACCACCGAGCTGGAGATCATCGGCGTCGGCACGGAGGTCGCAAAGCTCGAAGTCAACGGGAAGCCACTGGATCACACGACGAACAACTTGACGAACTGGGTAGCGCGTCCGCCTCTCGTGGACATCCCGTTCACCGTCCCGGACCTGAAGACGCTCAACTGGACTTTCCTCGACTCGCTTCCAGAGATCCGCCCAGGCTACGACGACTCGGCCTGGCCGCTCGCCAACCATACCACCACCAACAACACAGTCGCCAACCTCACGACCCCCGTCTCCCTCTTCGCCTCCGACTACGGCTTCCACGCGGGGACCCTCGTATACCGGGGCTATTTTACCGCCGCCGGCACTGAAGACACGCTCAGCATCACGACCCAGGGCGGCTCCGCCTATGCGAGCTCCCTCTGGCTCAACGACACGTTCCTCGGCTCCTTCGCCAACAGCCACGACGACGTCGCGGAGAACAACAACTCCAACTACACCCTCGCCGGCCTGACGACCGCGGGCGCGACGTACGTCCTCACCGTCCTTGTCGACACGATGGGGCTGGAGGAGAACTTTGTCGTCGCGGCCGACGCAATGAAGTCTCCGCGCGGCATCATGTCCTACAGCATCACGTCGTCCCCGCCCGGATCCGCGCCGCCGACAAACGTCACGGCGTGGAAGGTGACGGGGAACCTCGGCGGCGAGGACTACGCGGACCGGTTCCGGGGCCCGCTGAACGAGGGGGGCCTATTTTTCGAGCGCCAGGGGTACCACCTCCCCGAACCGCCGGCGACGGCCTTCTTGGGGCGGCGGTCGCCGATGGAGGGCACCGACGGCCCCGGTGTGGCGTTCTACGCCGCGACGCTGGAGCTGCGCCTCCCGGCCTCGGACCTCGACATCCCCCTGGCCTTCGTCCTGGACGACATCGACCCGTCCTCCTCCGGCGGCGGAGGCGCCTACCGGGCGATACTCTACGTCAACGGCTTCCAGTTCGGCAAGTACATCAGCAACCTCGGCCCGCAGACGAGGTTCCCCGTGCCAGAGGGCGTGCTCCGCTACCAGGGTGCTAACTCGGTCGGGCTGGCCGTCTGGTCCCTCGGCAAGGGCGGGGCGCGGGTGCGGGACTTCCGGCTGGAGGCCGGAGAGGTCGTGACGACAGGGCGCGAGGAGGTGAAGGTCGTCGCTGGGCCGGCATGGAGCCCGAGGGCGGGGGCGTACTAGACGGTGATCCCTGGAGTGTTTGCTTTTTTCCCGGCACGTACTCCCAATTGCCATTGCAGGGATGTGAAGGGCTTTAATGTCTTGTTGCAACCTTGCGTTGCAAAGCAAGAGGCCGGAACGAGAGAAACTTTTGGTACCGTGGCATCGGGTCAACGGTGAGCCTACAAATCATAAAGACTTCGTAGCTTTAACCCAATAGTTCGCATATTGTGTCCAATGGTACAGAAACTCCTACGATTAAGGTGGAAAGCATCACGACAAGAGGATATCATCTGCTTGGGATGCATTCACTAGCTGGTGGAGAGCTTGTGCCAACATTGGAAGCTGTCAAAGTGCTTGGTTACCAAAGTTTCCCATACCGCTTGGACCTAAAGACGGTTCAAATCGAAGATAGGTATCTGTCACTCATACCAACATATAAAAGGTCATCAACCGTACCACCTATGTCGAAGTTTTAGTCCTTCTGGCCTGGATTTTTCGGGGGCAAGCCGCACTTGCATTTCCCTGAACGATTCTTTGGTCACATTCCACGAGAATGTTGTTCGCGTTCAAGAACATATCCGGGAAAGGCTGAAAGTATGTTTTTTTATACATAAACAAAAAGCACACCGCTACAGCGATAGATTCCCACTGAAGATTGTAATAGGGAGGCTTTTCAGGCCGCGTATCAGTCAAGACCACCGTCGTCCACACGCCTCCACGGTCGGGAGGCGGTTGCTATCTGCTCCTTCGCGACGGGCCGCATCCCCATTTCTGAAGGTGAAGATGATGCAGAGAACCCACGGCCTAGCGCACATGGTGCTGCTGGTGCGTCGACCTGATTGGAGCAGAGTCCCCCGGGCTGGGCAAGGCTCTGACTTGTGCGTGGGCTGAACCGGACCGTCGACGCTTGTGTATGTATGTAGCCCGACGTGAGCACATTTTGGACGTTGCGGGGTTTGCGTCTTTGATCCCTCACGCCATTGCTTTTTTCATCAGGTATATCGTATGAGACTTGCCTCCATATCACAACGCGCTTTGGAACCCTGGTATCTACCGCCCTCATCGATCTGACCCCGACCCGCGCAGTTACACGGGAAAACGAGGCTTTCGATTTCTCATAATGTGCCACCAAATCATCGAGTGATACGCAGCGTGCAAACGTATTTACTATCAACATGCGGTCGACAGGTGTGAAGTATGGGGTAGACCGGGGCATTTAATCCAGAGGCGGACCATCTTGGTCGGCTACGCATGCAACGCACACTTCAACGACCGGACCCAGCTTACTCGCTTCCGCCAGCAGATGACACATCGGATTTTGACATACATAGTGATCAAGTAGAGCATGAGACGCAACCCACCCGAGGGGCAAACTCAGAGGACGCGCCGGAAGTGAAGAGTAGGTGTCGGCTTTCCCCTAGTAGTCACGCGTGCTTGCATAGTAATATCCCGACAAAGGCCTAGAGAGCCTGGGTCGGCCTCTGGCCCACCCGGTCGAGGACCCCGAGCTGCAACAGCTTTGGCGCGTGGCCCTGGAGCGCTTCCCAGACAGCCGCTCTGCGGAGGAGCAACTGTTAGGCTGCATCGCCGCGTTTATCCACCAGTTGAAGCAGTGGGCTAAGGCGCCAGCACAGATCCAGGCCACAAAGGATCTGGAAACCATGCAGCTGCTAGTAGTGGCATACATCGTTAACACCTGCTACGCTCATAACGAGTCGTCACAGAACACGCGGCTCCGCGAGAAGGACGTCGTGAGCGGAAGCCCGGACGGCTCTGCCAAGGGCCGCGTTGTCGACGTCTCGCGACTGGAGTCGTTCGCGATGGAGAGTGAGCCTCTGAAAGAACTCAAACGGAAGTTGGAGTTTCTGGGGACGACACCCATATGGCGCAATCGTTCCCCTCGACCGGTGTTCTGGAGGGCCGTGACTTGCATTCAGAATGCCGCGGACCGCTGGAGACGCCAGCAATCCGCAGGTATCTCTCCAGACTCGACGGCGAAACAGATTGAATGGTGCTGTGTAAGTTGAATATTATGCATCCCCCGACCCCACCCCCTTTACCCGAGCGATCAGACTCACATAATATGACAAACCTTCAAATCCTGCCTGTGGCAGGGTTGTGCTGGACGAACACATCGAGAACAGCCCCGGCGCCCTCTTGCGGTTCGAAGAGCTCCTCGGCGGGTATTAGACGTTGAGATGGGAGCAGCGAGCCCACTCCGCGCCAGCTCGGCAGCCAGGTAACCCTCGAACCAGAGAGGGTAACAGGCCCAGTGGCTTCCGCCGCTGGATTCCCAGCGGGCCAACCCCGCCTCCTTAGTATAATCTGCCCCATCATCGTGAAGATTCCGGCTCCTCCAACGGCGACGAAGACCCCAAATCCTGTAAGGGTCCGGGGCAGCAGCTGAATCAAACGCCCAGCAAACGGCACAGCATCGTTCTGCTGTGCACCCCCTTCATGAGGTGGGGCACCAAAGCCCACCAGCCGGACGTGTGCGCCGTCCGGTCCGGCCAAGCCTTCTTCAGCCTCCTGCGCATGTCTTACGCCGCGTACCGGACGAAGCATCCGTGGAGCTGGCTCAAGAGTGTAACGCTTCTCGGTCTTGTGAAGTAGAGCCACCGTTCCAAAGCTTAGTCACTTTACCGGTCCTGTTTTCTCACGAATGCGCCAACCCCCAGTTCGAGATGTTCCGGAACCAGCTAGTCAACATCTCCCAGTCCCCCTTCCTGCCCGTCAGCGCGGACTTCGAACACGAGCCCGCCGAGACCGAGCCGCCCATCGGGGCCAACCTTATGATGCACCTATTTGAGAACACAGGTCACGTCGACATCCTCCCCGTGCTCTTCAAGAGAATACCCCGGAGGACAAAGGAGAGGCTAGAGGCGTGCCACGTTTGGGGAAGCTCGGTAGGCTGGGGCGTCCAGTACGTGGAGGCTCTGAACGGGCTTTACGTTTTCCTGTTTGGCTGCCTCGGATTCCTCGTCTGCCTCGGGATATCCGTCGCGTGGATGGTGGTGAAGCACGACATCCAGGGGGGGTTCGCCATCGGCGGGTTTGTTCTCGCCTTCGTGCTCTTTTGTTGTGGCATGCTTCACTCTCATGCTGCTTGAAATTTCTCTCTGATTCCAAGTCTGTCGAGGGTACGCTACGGTCAATAGCCGCCGCGATTGGCAGCATTTGTCAAGTATAATCGAGTAAGTATATCTGCAGAGCCACGGGAGCCCCGATATGGATGCCGTCCGTCAGCCATTTGGTGGCCTCGCTTGTGGCATCCGGATCGCCTTCCGCGTGGAATATGATCAACAGAAAAAGGAAGAGGTGGAAGAAAGAAGAAAGACAGAGAAACACAGCCAGTAAATCGAGAGGATTGGGCATTCTGCGACCACTGCAAAAAAATGTTACAGAGCAGTCGTCATTCTGGGGATATATCCGAAGCGGCTTGGACGGGAAATCCAAAACCCAGGGTAACACATGACTTGGCCACCTGGAGGGCTGGTTATACAATCACCATACGCAACGCACTCAGTAATCCTTGGAGGGTGATTCCACCCGCGCCCTCTCGGTTTCCTTCACCTGGATCAGCAGAGCTTCGATTTAAAGCTGGACGTTCAGGACCGTTATCGACAGCCGAGCTTAGCCACCGCGGACGCTAACGGTGACGGCGAAGTTCTGCGGCTTCACAAAGGTCCCGTTCTTGGTTTTCCATAAATCTTCGGGCCTTTCCTGAGCTTAAACTCAAAGTCGCGAACGAGACGCAGGACCAGCTTGGCTATCTCGAGCATGGAGATGTGCCTCCCGATGCAAGTCCGACTGCCGAGCCCAAACTGGAGGGTGGAGACCGTCAGCCAAGACAAGTGCATCAGATACGTGTTCTGTGGGTTGTTGTGGTACTCACCGGAATTCAATGGCGGTTCATGAGCGCGAGCTTACTCTCGTCTTCGATGAGCCACCTCTCCGGCCGGAACTCATCAAGGTCTTCGAAGATGAGATCGTTCCTATTCTCCACCCAGCAGTGAATTGACAGCTTCTTCTGTGCGTTCCTGTTAGCCACATGATGTAACGAGGTGAAAAGGGGAGGGATCATCCTTACTCCCGCCGGGAAAAATCCACCGGCGATAGTGGCACCGTCTTCGGGCGCCACCCACTCAATGGGCACGCCGAACGCCAGGTGGATTCGCAGAGCCTCCTTAATAACGGCTTGAAGAAAAGGCATGCCCTCAATTACAATAGCACCTTAGCTTTGAGTCAGAAATAGATCGTACAAGTCTAACAGAACACGGATTGGTGATGGTTTGGGCTTGTTACCGTGCTTCTTATATACGGTATATCAATTAGTCGATAAACTTGACTTGATCTAAACTATCCACACAAACACCCAGACTTTAATAAGTGGAGAACGGCGAGCTGACAATGCTGAAACGGCGAACCTGGAATCCGAGAAACTGAGTATGATTACTGGCTATTCATCCGGCGTCGAGTGTTGTGGATATCTGGAGACGACGTAACATGATGACGCCGATATTTCATTCGTTAATAGGCCCCGAAACCCCGACAGAAACTACCTCCCTGGGTGTCCCCTTCCCTCGACTGATCGTCTCTGTACAAGGAGCCGCCGGACGCAGATGGAGAATATTAGACAGATCGGACACTACCCATATCACTCATCTCAGTGCCATCGTTGTCGGTTCCGCGCTGCCGGCTCGTCTTATCGGCTATTTGAACATGACTGGCAAGGCAAGTGATGGGTTTTGGCGAGTTCTCCCAGGTGAAGACCGCGGCGGCCACCATGAGAGAGCAGGCAATGATCATAAAGATGATCTGGTCTCTGAATGCAATGGCATAGACGTTTTGGATAAGGCGCAGCAAGTTTTCGTTCCAATGAGCAGATGCTGTAGGCGTTTGGTAAAGGACTGCGAGTTGTTCCTTGGGAAGGTGCTTGTTCAAGGCATGGAGACGCTTGTTGAAGAGAGCAGTGCAGACGGCGACGCCAAGGCAGCTGCCGAGAGCACGGGCTTGAGCCAGGGCTCCTTGGGCGACGGCATGGTCCTGGGTGGAGTCGGTCTCCACTCCGGAGAGTATGGTAGCGGAGCCGAAGACAAGACCGACACCGAGTCCGAAAATGAACGTGAACCCGTAGGCAGGAACAAAAGAGGAGCCGACGGACGAAACGATGAGCATCAGGCTGATACCAATAAGCTGCGCCACCGAGGCGACAATCATGACGAGAGCGGAGTTGTTGGATCTGGAGCAGATTGCCCCGGCGAGGAATGACCCCAATGCACAGGCGCCCAGCATGGGAAGAAGGTAGAGACTTGACCGGAGGGGTGTTTCTTGCTCGATGACCTGCATGCGCTCCGGAATGATGACAGTCAAGGCCACATATGGGAGCCCAGTCAAGAAAGTGACGGCCAAACCGCCCATGAAGGGACGCCGCTGAGCCAGTTGGACGGGAAAGACGGGTTCGATGTGAACGCAACCAACGTGGTCAGGGTACTGGCAGTATTTGACAAAGAGATAAGTTTCGCTGATTCCGAAAAGAACCCAATTAACTCCTGAAACGACAAAGCTGGTGATGACGCTGGGATGGTCCCAGCCGTAGAGAGGAGAGCCGCCGCGCTCGACGGCAAACACAAGGAAGACGGAAGCCGCAAAGAGGGTGGCCATGCCGGAAAAGTCGATTTTTTTCAAACCCCTCAAGGAAAACACCGTGACTACACGACGGTCTCTAGGATAACACAACGCAATGCAGAACATGGCGGCAATGCCGAGAGGGATGTTAATGCCAAAGATCCATCTCCAGGTGATCTTGGAGACAATGGCCCCTCCCAGAACTGGGCCCAAAAGAAAGGCGACGGCGAGGGTGACTCCGATGAGGGCACCCATGAGTGGCGGGTTATCGGCGGGACCATGCTCGAGAAGACAGGTCTGGGCGAGGCTATAGAGACCCGAGCCTCCGATGCCCTGGAGAGCGCGGCCGACAATCAGCATCGGCATGCTAGCAGCGGCAGCGCACAAGAGGGAGAAGAGCAGGAAGACGGTCCAGCTGCAAAACAAGAGGGTCCGGCGGCCATAGATGTCACTGAACTTGGCGATACCGACAGCACAGCCCATGTAGGTGAGAAGATAGGCCAATAGAACCCAAGGAGCATTGCCGTAATCGTTAAACTCTTCAGAGATGGTGATGAGAGAAGTGGCGATGATGGAGGTGTCGAGAGTAGCGAGGAAAAGGCCCAAGAGCAGACTTGTTGTTTAGCTACCTAGGCTTCGGCCAAGGGTGCGGACGAAGTCTTACCTGGTGACAATCAAGAACTTGTGAATTCTGTTTTCACGCATAGAAGCCAAGGAATGCTCGACGGGTCGGGAAGGTAGGTTGGAGGCAGCAAACCCAGCCGTGTCGCCCAACGAGGGGTTCGGGTACGAAAGATGATCAGATATCTGACGATCGGAGCAGGTCTGGGCGGCCATGGTGGCGGTGGTTTAGAGGCCCTGTCAATGACGAGATGGCTGACGACGTAGAGATCTCAATCGTACTTGCGTGGCGGACGATAGCGCTCAAGAGAGGCCAGCTTAGAGTCCCCTCGAAACGAGGCCGAAGACGATTAGTTACAGAGTCGGGGGAGTCAACGAAGATGGGAGGATTCGAGGTAAGGTTGGGAGGTGAACAGGAGGCCAGGGGACTGCAAGGTATGATTCGCTGATTAGGGAGGTGTCTAGACTACCTACTCGGGGAAGGTAGGTATTGTTCACCAAAACAACAATGTGACTGCCTCTGGAAAAGGGAAGAAGACTGTCCTAGAATGGAAGTGGCAAGGCCCAGCCTGGTACTCGCCAGGTGTGACTGCCTTTCTCGAAGCAAAGTTAGGTATCCAGGGAAGGAAGGATGAGGTGGGGTATTTCGACAACCGAACCGATGTAACTTTCAGACAACTTGAGGAAGTTACCTAGGTGTGCGTGGAGGTAGGGGCCTAGGCAGGCATGGGCAGTTTGTCAAACTTCCCCTTTTGGTGAAGGTGCAAGGCAAAGAGGTCAAAAGCTGCAGACACACACAACCACACACGCAGTGAAGAGCAGCAGCCGACTATACATACCCAGGTCAGTAGGTGGAGATATCAACCGTTTCCCGGTGCCGTCATCCCAGAGCGACGCTCCCGCGCCTCACATGCACTTACCCACAAAGCCCAAGACACTGGATTTCATGAGGCGCGTCCCATACGGCCTTACTAGCTTTGACGTGAGATTTTCTCTGACAGTTCCACCTTGGGTAGGCGAAGACGTGGACAATGACGGGTGCCGTGCAAGGTGTGACCAATCTCGAGAAAGCATCAAGACCGAAAAGGGAACTCGTCAATCTTGGGGGACAAACAGCACAGCACATCACAATCAACCCAGCTGTATACAGCGTCGACACCCTACTCAAAGACAAAGGCCGCCTTGGTGAAGGTTCTGTGGATGAGCAGGGGGGAGGGGGAATGACTGTGTATCTAACCCGGCTGAGATGGAACTTCATTTACAGGCATCATTTAGGGAGACAGGTATCCCAGTTCCCCTCTCTCAGATAGATACAGGCACAGGACTTGACACACGACTCTTCTAGGAACCGTTCTCGTTGTCGTACGACCCCTGAACGCTCCAACGTTTCTGGACTTCGTAAACAAGCCACTCAGACAAGCCGTAGGAGGGAACGAAACGGTTTATACTAGGCAACACTGTTTTGCACTGAGTCCCCTTGTGCTGGTCCAACGGGAATTTGACTGGCTATACTTGAACGATGCCGGGATCCGACTGTGGCACCTTGCGCACACCCAGCTCATGTTACAGGAGTAACACGTACGAGGGAGAAATGAAGGAAGAGCGGCATGAAGACGGCGGACTGTCTACCGGATCTGTGTATCCCCGACCAACGATATCGCCTGCAACGTATACATGGCAACCCCCACTTGGGTCATTGTGTTCCCAAATGCCTCGTGGTAGAGGCGCCACGATCCAACCCCAGCCCCAAGTGAGGTTGAAACAAGTCGACATGGGCACCACCAGAACAATGTCGACTCTGGCGCTTCGACTGACGTTTTTTGCCATATTGAAAGGGAGGGAAGAAAGAATGTCCGCTGTGCACCTGGACTCCGGGGCGGCTAGGGCCGTAGAACAGACCCTGAGTGGCCCCAGGTCGTGTGCGACCTCGCCTCCGACTTCCCTAATGGTCGCTAAAGTTCCGGGAAGGAGGTAGCTTGTGTTTGAGGGTTCTTTCGGGCTTCTTTCTGCTTGGGGTTGTCGCTAAAGAGAAAACATGCTAGAAATACACATAATACGGGCCCTTTCCCGTGCCATACTGCTGCGTTCCACGCGAACCAGGGGCGACCTGTCTTCTTGAGTTCCCAGCTGTCGTACGCCCGCCTGTGGAACATGGGCGCGCTCTTCTGGTGGCTCAATCGTGCCACGGCGGACAGTGACTCTACCCTCCCCATGTCCACTTCGAACTCGGTCTTTTTTTCTTTTGGAGAAGTTTGCTGCAAAGACTTGAGTGTTTCGTCAGTCGAGGAGTCGCAGCCGTCTTTCAGCGGCATTTCCACCGAACCCTCATTGGCGGAGGCGGTCGAAGCTTGTGTAAGAGGACGAAATTGTGTGTGTGAAGTCGGGATGGATTATCTGGGCGACCGAAGTTGCCCAGCCGGATGCAGTCGGGCCTTGGCAATGCCGACAGGCCACAAACACCAGCTCCCCCCAGGGCAGTCTCCCCACAGCCTCTGGAAGAACCTGCGGAAGCACCTACGGAACGATACAGATCAAGCTGAAGTGTTTGACAATGACCAAAAGGTGCCGGGCAAGCTTTCGGCGTTGCTGGCAAGAAACCTGCACCCATATGGCGTGTCCCGTCCTACCCAGGTGTCATTGCTACTGTTTGATGGCCAGAGCTGTCTCTATCCTTTGACCCTAGGTCAACTGACAGCTCCAATGTCTCAAAGAGATCCTGCAGAAAACCACATGGAAACCCCCGTAACAGTGCCTGTATGAAACCTCTTATTCAACCTGACTACTGGAGTGCTGCGTCACACGGCCTTGCCAGCGATGATCTTTCAAGGAGACCAGCAAAAGAATCATACGTTGAGGGGATTGTTGCATCGGACACCAGCACAACCCTGATCTCAAGAAACTCCCTGAACATTCGAAACTCAGCATTTTACAATGTGCCACTATGTTACTAGCGTTCCTCACAGCCCCCCTCTGACGGGCCACAGTACACCTAATGCTTCCAGCCTTATTCAACATGTGAGCAACACGATCCTGTAGAAAGATCAGGCAGATCCGGAAACCTGCCCCATCATCGTGGTCCAAGGTTTGTAATCCTCCCTTCCATCCAAAAACAGGTTGTGCAGCCAGCCTCACAAAGCTTTGTTACTGTCCTCTCCTTCGTACGTGGGACAACTACTCTTCTAGACCATTTCATGGGCAGTACAATGCCACGAGGAACCGGGTGTACAGAGGACATGGCATTCCCTCTCTCTACTGGAGACAAATTTATGTCATACTGTTGAACAATCCATCGAGTATTCGCCAAGACACAATTGGTAGACACAAGCTGTGTCGGTTGTGGATGAAAATTGCTGTAACTGACACTGAACTGGAAGCTAGGCTCTGTGTCAAGGCAAACCACCAGCTGTCATGACTGTCCACAACTTCAAAACCAAGGAGAGAACTGTGTTTATGCAAAGAATAAGGGTTATTCTTTTTTATCTCCACCCCAAAAGACTCAAGACTCTTCTGTTTGCTGTTAACAATCGGAAGAGCACACACAGACTAGGCCGGCCACTAATGAGGACACAATTTACATGAGCCTCAGTTGGTGTAATGTGTAATGATTTCCTCTGTGAATAAAATGAACCTCGATTGTATTTTAGGAATACTCTCGTTGACTGGATAACTGCAGGCTGAAGTCGGCTGCGCCCCCAGGCCGTTCTATTTCAAGCGTAGAGTGATTGCCATCTTCCCGTCTCCGAGAACGTCAGTAGCTTTACTCGTCGGTCTTATTCCATGAGGCCGTTGAGCCTCATGGACCATCCCCTTGCAGAAACACACTCCTAGAACGGCAAGAGATGACAAGGAGTTATGTCATGAATGTTCAAAGGCCCGATACCTTGGAAATTTGATTCTCTTGGTCTTGCAGTGTGACTGGGATCACTGACGCCAGCCTTCTTGTGTATTAAAGGGCCGCCGTATGCCTACGTTGGCCCATCGCATAGCCCACAAGCCCAGCTCACCAAGCTCAGGACCTGATGCTGATTGTCGAAGCAAGGTTCTGTCTGATGCCGTGTTCTCCTGCTTTCCTGCTCCTGTATACAACTGAAAGAAGCGGGCACCCTCACTGGGCAGCTGCTTCGAGCGTCAGCCGTGCAGAATCACAGACTTCACCTTGACTTCACCTCACCTCACCACACCCCAGGACATCAGGGTACCCTCCAACCTTTACCTGCACATATCTTGTGAACTGAAAATTCAGTCAATCAGTTCCTGCCGCTCGCTGCCTCTCCAGCTTTCCAACACTTCTTCAACTCGCTTTCTGCACCTTGGCTTCTTGGTATCTTTCTCTCCTCGCCATACCTATACCAACTTTGCCCACAGAAATCTCATCTCTTGCCCTTGCCCTTATACAAAATCTTCAACCCTCCCCGCCAGTTCGCTGTTACATCGCCACGCCTCTTTCTTCTTCTTCTTCTTCTTCTTCCCCTTCTTCGAAGACGGCTCATTGAGCCACAAACCATCACCGAGTTTCTCCACCACATCGAGGCCGTCAGGATGGAGGACATCGCCATCATCGGTATGGCCTGCCGCTTTCCCGGCAATGCCACCTCCCCGGAAAAGCTGTGGCAGACGATGGTCCAGAAAGAGTCCGCGTGGTCTGAATTCCCCAAGGACCGTCTCAACATAGATGGGTACTATCATCCAAGTGGTGACCGTCAGGGCAGTGTGCGTCTTTCACCTCACCCGCCAACTCCATCCATCGGTCTTCTGAGCTGACATGCTGCGTCTAGATCTCATTCCGAGGCGCCCACTTTATCAAAGACGATATCGCAGCTTTCGACGCGTCTGTATGTGAATGACTCTTTGATCTCGTACCGAGGCCTCATCTAACCCAGATTTATCTAGTTTTTCTCCGTCATGGCTGAGGACGCCAAGGCCATTGACCCTCAACAGCGTTTTCTGCTGGAGGTATCCTACGAGGCACTTGAGAATGGCAAGTAAAACCCCCCGTTCTCTTGAGAGAACCGCTTGTCCTGACCTTGAATAGCTGGCCTTCGTATGGAAGACCTCAGAGGTAGCCCCACAGCCGTCTATGTCGGCTCCTTTGTGAAGGGTCAGTCCGATCCGTGCTGTGTTCTGATTACTCCTGCTGAGACACGATAGACTACGAGCAGATTTGCCTGCGCGATATGGACTGGCAGCCACAGTATGCTGCCACAGGAACAGGCAACGCCATCATGTCCAACCGCGTGTCCTACACGTACGACTTCAAGGGGCCGAGCATGACGATCGACACCGGCTGCAGCGGAAGCCTCGTGGCAGTCCATCTAGCTGCTCAAGCTCTCAGGGCCGGCGACTGTTCCCTGGTGAGACAATCCGTTACGTTGCACTTCCCTGGTACTAACCTTCGTAGGCTCTCGCTGCCGGAGCCGGCCTCATTTTCACGCCCAATACCATGATGCCCATGACGGCACTCAACTTCCTCAGCCCGGACGGCAAGTGCTTTGCCTTTGATGCCCGTGCCAACGGCTACGGTCGTGGCGAGGGGATCGGTTTCGTCGTTCTCAAGAAGCTGTCAGATGCAGTCCGAGACAACGACACCATCCGAGCTGTCATTCGTGGTACCCATGTGAACCAAGATGGCCTGACCACCGGTGAGATCTCCGTATCCAAAGCACACAGCCCGCCGACACTAACGGTTCAATAAGGCATTACCCTTCCTAGCAAGGAAGCTCAGGTAGCCAACATCCGCGCCCTTTACGCCAAGCATGGTTTGGACATGAAGCAGACAGCCTTCGTCGAGTGCCACGGCACGGGAACCCAGGCCGGCGACTTCCGAGAGCTCAAGGCCATCTCCGAGACACTCGCTCAGGGAAGGACGACGGAGAACCCCGTGTTTGTGGGCTCCGTCAAGACAAACATCGGCCATCTCGAGGGCGCAGCTGGAGTCGCAGGTCTGATCAAGGGTGTGCTCACCACCGAAAAGGGCCGTATCCCGCCAAACATTAACTTTGAGCGGGGGAACCCCGACATTGACTTCCAGAACTGGAAAGTAAAGGTAAGTGATTGGAGACCTACCGGTTAGCGCGTATAACGCTGACCATGCTTGCTAGGTGCCTACGGACCTGACAGAGTGGCCGTTTGATGGTCTTCGAAGAGTCAGCGTCAACTGCTTCGGCTTCGGAGGCACCAACGCACACGCCGTTCTCGATGACGCTGCTGCATATCTTGCAGAGCGCGGCATGACAGCCAACCACAACTCTTCCCTCGATAGTATCCAGCCTCGTCAGTCAGGTGCCGTCGCCGAGGCCCATGGCCCGTTCTTGACCCCCAAGCTGTTTGTGTTCTCCTCAAACGAGCGCAAGGGTGTTTCTCGTCTGATGGAGACACATCTCGGCCACATCACCGGCCTCACGGACATGACAGAGGTCGATGCTGACAACTACGCATACACCCTGGGATGCCGTCGTTCGACCATGGAGTGGAAAGGTTTCGCTGTGGCCAAATCTGTTGCGGATCTCGCCTCGAAGCTACAATCGAGCGACGAGACGGGCTTCCTCCGATCTGGCCGCGAGAGCAAACCGAAGCTCGGCTTCGTTTTCTGTGGTCAGGGGGCCCAATGGGCTCAGATGGGCCTCGAGCTCATGCGTTTCGATGCTTTCAAGAGTAGCATGACGGCAGCCTCCCGCCATCTCAAGACGCTCGGCAGCGAGTTCGACCTTGTGGAAGAGATCGCGAAGGCTAAGACGGAGTCGCGCATCCAGGATCCCCAGATCTCGCAGCCGGCGACAACCGCGGTCCAAGTAGCGCTCGTCGACTTGCTGCGGGCTTGCAACATCATCCCCGACAGCGTCGTCGGGCACTCCTCGGGAGAGATCGCGGCCGCATACGCGTCGACCGCCATCACCCGCGAGGCGGCCTGGGAGCTGGCGTACTACCGTGGCCGGAGCGCTTCTCTTCTCTCGACCATCGCCCCGTATCTCAAGGGTGCCATGTGCGCTGCCAGGATGACCAGCGCCGAGGCCCGCCAGTACATCGAGAGCCATGACAAGAACGGCGGCCTCCAGGTCGCGTGTGTCAACAGCCCCAACTCGGTCACTATCTCGGGCAACCGTTGCGACGTTCTCCGGATGCGGGACGAGCTCAAGTCGCGCCAAGTTCTGTGCAAGGTTTTAGATGTCGACGTCGCGTATCACTCAAGGCACATGCTGCTTGTCGAGGGTAGCTACAACGACTGCATTCAAACGGTTCTCCCAAACGACGCCACCGAGAACATCCCCTTCTTTTCATCGGTTCGCGGAGAGATGCTACCGCACAACCTGCTTGACCCGTCGTACTGGGTGCAGAACCTGGTTTCTCCGGTCCAATTCGTTTCCGCCGTCAAG